GACTTTTGATATGGAAAGCAAATTCTATCTGCACATATAAGTATTCCACTGGGAGATTTATGTCACTGACTTCAATCACAAAGCACACAGCCTTTTTAGAATCTCCCATATTTATATGACCCATCACGGGGGCATACACTGCAGAAAACTCAATTTCTCTGTAAAATTCCTTCTAAACAAATCTAGCATCCTTGTAACTCCAAAATGGCTATTGCTCTGGATATCTTTTCTCCCCGATCAAATAGCAGGGAACGGTCTGGATTGTTCTGTTGTACTGTCATGAAATTAGACTGAAGTGAATATAGCTTAAAATATGCATTCCCGGCCATGTGGAACTGTTATTCATATTGTTGGCACAGTGGGAGTAAAGTGAAATGTGATAATGTACGGGGGATGCTCTGAAATTGTAAAGAGCAACACAAATGAGAGGTAGGTATTTTTTTCCCCAAATTGCCAAGAAGTGTTTCCATGGGGGAAGCCAGGCTTTGGTGAATACCAAGCACTGGCCATGATAGTGATTTCTTGTTTTCTTGCCTCTCTACTCTTCCACAAGGCCAGAATAGTTTAAGAATCCAGGCCACCTCTTCTGGAATCAAGCTGAAGACCTTGCTTGTAAAGATGACATTGTGTGTGTGTGTGTGTGTGTGTGTGTGCCTGTCTGTCTTTCCTTCTATTTCTGCCCCCCCCCCCCCCCCCACACACACACTCACTGGGAATTGAATCCAGGGGTACTCTACCACTGAATTACATCCCCAGTCACTTCCCTCTCCTTCTACTTATTTATTTATTTAATTTTTCTTTCTTTCAAGACAGGGTCTTGCTAAGTTGCCCAGGCTAGCCTTGAATTTATGATCCTCGTGCCTCAGCCTCCCAAGAGGTTGGGATTATAGGCGGGTACCCACTGCACCTGGCTGACATCAACTCTCTTAGCCTCAGTGTCCTCCTTGGGCAATGACACTTGACAGAATTGTGACAAATGCTAAAGGAGACAATGTAGGCAAAGTGCACAAACGCTGGAGACATAGTAACTGCTCCACAAATAGGAATTGGTTTTATTACCTTCTTCATCTTCCATCCGTCACTATTGACAGACTGTGAAGGGTTCCCTTAGCTTCAGCCACCTCCTTCAATCTTGGCTCAAACCAAGGGCTTCCAAAAGCCCTTACAAGGGCAGGGGAAAAAATATTTCCAGTTGCTGAGAGTAGGCTGGACCTCAATCCTGCTGTAATAATTGAAAGGGCAACACTATGGGTTTGGCCCTAACATCAGTTCAGGACAGAACTACTGTTCTGTTGCCCTTTTAAGGGGCATGGCTTCTGGGAAGGGCGGGAAGAACTTCCAAGCCCACAGATCCTGAGGCTGCTGGATTCCAAAGTTCCAAAGGTGGTGGACTTGCACATGAAGATGCTAGAGATCTCTTGATTTCACTGATAATGGCTGGGCCCACCTGCCACTGCAGGGAATGAGACTAGGAAATGCAAGAGGATGCTAAAGTACAAAAAGGCAGCTGGATGAAACCGACCCCAGACAGACCATATTCTGGGAGAAGGTGTTCCTCTCCTAGAACTGGGATCTCAGAACTCTCAGCTCCACTGGTGCCAACCGTGGGCCCCTCTAGCTCTTACCAGGCGATGAAGGGTTGGAGTAATCGATGGCGATGAAGGAGATTCTATTGGCTGCAGTAAGGAGCTCTGGACTTAGGAGGCAAAGGTTCTTGTCAGCAATATCACCTTGTTTTCCACAGAGAGGTTTAGCCCAAGGTTACAGTGCTAGTGACAGAAACCCTCAGTTGAGAAGGTTTTGTATTTTTGCTTTGTTTTCACTACTACATGTGAACCCCATGTGAGACATGCAAAAGCAGCAGTCCCAAACCTAGTAGCACTTGGTACACTCCAAGCATGTCCCCAACTGCCCATCTGCCTGGAGGTGTCAGGAAAGAACATGTCCTAGGGGAAGATAAAAGGAGTTGGGTTGGCCACCAGTTGTAGGCAAGAACAAATTATCCTAGACTGGTCTGGAATGTGTTGCTGTGATGAACTGCTCCATCTTCCCTGAGAACCAGCTTAGAGGAAATGAAAGGGAAACAGGAAGGATTAACATTAGATTTAAGGCAGCAGTTTCTCCCAGGGATGATAATGGGACCCCTTATTCAGTGACCAAGGAAGGCTGTGGACTCATCCCCCTCCCTTCCACTTTTGAGGCCTTTGGGAATCCATCTTCTAGTCCCTACAGCCTGCTTTTAGAACAGGAATGAATGAAATGACTTTAAAAAGTCTCCACCTTTCAGGTGGGAGATCTTTCCTCCAGACAGGTCTCCTGGGCTCTTTACTGAGGGTGCGGACAGCAGTCGTTCTGGCTCCAGAGCCCTGGGGGAGAAACAGCAGTCATGGCATCTCTTGCAACACGCTCCCTGCCAAATTGATTCAAATTGGCTTGGATATGAACATATGATTAAAGGAGCGGCGCGATTCATTTATCAGGAGAGATTAAAGAGCGGCATCTGCGCAGCCTAGCTGGGGGACAATTAAGGAGCAAATCGCTAAGTGTCTGTGCCACCAGGCACAGGGGAGGGGGATGGGGGAAGGACAACTGGGATAATCTGCCAAGGGGATGCAAGGACAAAAGGAGGCAATTTGGGGGTCACTGCCTGCTTCTGTATTCTCTAGACACTATGGGGAGTCCTACAGGCTTTAGTTCCCATCCTTGCCTCCTATTTAGGAGCGAAAGCAATCCTGAGGATCTGCAATTAGAAAGGAGGATCTAGTAGGGCAGCTTTGAGCCTGGAGCAGGGAAAGATTTGCTTTGTTTCACAGGAATCACACACATCTTAGGGACCACAGCTACCGTGACTGTACAGGTGAGGGCAGGAATTTAATAGAGCTCTCAAGTTGCACCCCAAATGAAGATGGGTTTCAGTAGCCCTGTAGGTCCCAGGACTCCTCTGGGGAGTTGCTGATGCCAAGGGAATTGTTTTCTTCCCAGCCTAAAGGCTAGCACCCTGGCTAAGGAGTTTTACTGAAGCTTTGAGAAAGATTGGTCATATGAGGTGATGTCCTTTGGCTTCCCCAGATAGCCTGAAGCATGCTCTACCACCGCCTATCTTTCTCAAACTCAAGACCTTTGCATAGAATCCTCTTTCTTCCAGGGCTGGGGCTATAGCTCAGCAGCAGAGTTCTTGCCTAGCATGCTTGAGGTATTGGGTTCAATACTCAGCACCACATAAAAATAAAATAAAGGCATTCTGTCCATCTATAACTAAAAAAAAATTTTTGTCTTAAATCTTCTTTCATCCCAACATGGCCTGTCCCAGCAATATCCACCTGTGTAAGTGTTATCCTGTCTTCAAGTCCCAGTCCAAAATACCAGCTCCTTTTAGAATCTTTTCCAGTCCCCCTTTCCCAAAGAGAATATCTCTGTATATAACATGCCCAAAGCAACTTATTTGAACTTATAGTCTATTCCACATTGGTCTTCCTTGTACAAGCCTTTGCCCACTTAAGACTTGCACATACTAGCAAGTGTAGTGCATATTTTGTGTTTCTGACTCCTCTACTAAAAGGGAGGGATTTATCCATCCTGAGCATCTAGGGCCATGCCTAGAGCACAGTAGGCAGTTATGAAATATTTCTCAACTGGTGAGCAAATGAATAAATGAATAATCCAAGTTTTCTAACTTTAGCAAAGTCCTTTACTCCAAACCAGGCAATGGAGGTTGAGGTAGGACTTTCCAGTGAACCAGAAGCTGGAGTTGGTGTTGGTGAACTTTTGGGCAGGTGGTAGGGAGTTGGTCATACTATCTCCTGGGAGAAACAGAAAATGCACCTGTTTTACAGCAGGAGTAAAAGATGTGAATGACAGAACTGAACATGAACCAGCAGTTAAAGGGAAAAAAAAAACAACACAACTTTGTTTTTACTACCTTCTTCTCTCTATTGTGAGGCAGCAGAGGGGAAAGTCTCTATTGTTCAAAATGGATCCATTTCATACTTCTCTCCTGCTCATTTTCTGAATTTTCTTCCTCCTTCCCTTTTTTGACTTTCTGGGTGACTGACATCATTGGAGCCTCAGCATGAGGGCTGATACCCTTCCTGCTTCCACGCCAAAGCACTTGATTCCTGCAGTGATTATAACTGGCCACATTACAGAAGGTAGAAGAGGAACAAGTGGGTGTCGTTTCTCCCCCTTGTGCATGAGGAGCCTCTTAGCTATCAGTCTGGGGACAAGGCATGGACTAGGGCATGTGGGTAGGGAAGAAGACAGCATTTTCAGCCCATTCAAGTTGCCTTGAGGGCCAGAGTTCTGATCAAAAAGTCACCTTTGGAATGGCTAAAATTAAGCTTTAAGAAGGGCTTGATTTCCCTGATAAGTGGATGCTGATCCATAATGGGGGAGGGGCAAGGGAAGAATGGAGGCACTTTGGATTGGGCAGAGTAAGGGGAGGGGAGGAGGTACGGGGGTGGGAAAGATGGTGGAATGAGATGGACATTATTACCCTATGTACATGTATGATTGCACGAATGGTGTGACTGTGTGTCCTGTACAACCAGAGAAATGAAAAGTTGTGCTCCATTTGCAAACAGTGAGTCGAAATGCTTTCTGCTGTCATGTGTAACTAATTAGAACAAATTTTTAAAAAGGGCTTGAATAAAAAAAAAGAAAAAAAGGTAAGAGAAGATAAAATCCCTGCAGCTGGTGGACAATAATATTTCCTCATGGAGGCCAGAGGAGATGAGGCTTGGACAACTCTGCCAACCTGAATTACAATCCACAGGCTCTCAGTGCAAAAGTTGGGGTTGTGTAATCCTCGACTAATCTCCTAATTTCCTCATCCTGCCTGCCCCAGATGACCTGCCAGGGTTCTCTGGGTGGCACAATCTGACATGGGAGAAGGTGAGAACAAGGTGACTCTCTGGTGTCCCCAATAGTCCTGCTTCTGCCTTCACCCCTGTGATCACAAGGGACTTTCCCTGGGCCTGAAGGAAGAGGCAGGAAAACTGGCATAGCCAGGAGGAAAAGGGGCTTTATTTCCATACATCAGGTAAACGGGGAGAGCACAGCCCAGTGAGTACAAACCAATTGCAGGAGAGAATGGGGACAGCAGATGGGAGCAGCTCCAGGCACTGCCCTTGGCCCCCAAGTCTGGTGGAGTTGAGGGGATAACTTTTGGAGGGGGCTGGGACCGCTTGTTTCCAGGTCTGGGATAAGTGTGAGGGGGCTGGGACCGCTTGTTTCCAGGTCTGGGATAAGTGTGTGGGGGCAGGGAGATGATACCAGCTCAGGACACTGGGTGAGGACTTGTGTCTGACACACACTAGTATCAACGGACACTCCCATCTTCAGTGGTTCTGACCACAAGCCCTCAACCCCAGGCCTTTCTTCTCAAGTTGAGCTTATGACCCAGGCAACTGGTACAGAGTAGAGGGAGGCAGTGCTTGGACAAGTCCCCAAGCTGGTGCAGGTGGAATGGGTTTACTATTAAATAGGTCATTGCACTTAACGCACTGATGAGATGGAGAGGGTGGGTGGGGGCTGGAAATTCGATGGCATTTATGTACCCCATCTGTGGAGGCTTGCTCAGCCCAACCAGAAGCACCTGGCAGCCCCTCCCCACACTGACTCTTAAGAACCTGGCCCCAGCTCTGCTCACCAGTCTCCCTGGCTGCACAGAGAAAGGACTGCACCCAGAAAAGTGGAGATGAAGAGATTTCCAAGTTGTTCCTGGGGGCCCCAGCTGCCACTGCAGCCGGCTCCCACTCTCAGGGATGTGGCCGTGATGGAGAAGTTGGATATTTAAATTAAGAAGTAAAAAGACAGCAGGCACTGAGAAGAGAAAGCCCTCGTCCCAAACCAGTGGGAAGGAATTGCTGTTCCCTCCCCGACTCCTCCCCATGGACCCAGCAACCTTGAGTGGCCCAGTAGGCAATCTGTCCATCATCCCTGAGCAGGGGGCTGAGATGGAGGTCAATTTGCTGGCTCCATGCAGTGCCAGGCCACCTGACACTGACCATGGTGGCCCTGGGTAGAAGCCAAGAGTGTGGCATCTTTGAGGCAGGGAGGAGCAAAAAGTTCTCTTTTCAGAAACTCCTCTTTCTCCCACCTCTTCCACGTGGGGATGTCAGACACCCACAGCCTGGAAAGTCCCCCTGATAGCGGAGGGTCAGGGTGTTTCCCATACAGATCAGCAGTCAGCGGGGGGACCAGTGCCCCACTGGTTCCTGGGAGAGATGCCCAGGCAGGCAGAGGCTGTGGGGTGTGAGGGCTGAGAGCCACTCCCCTGGGCTATGCATTGGTCTCCGCCAGCTTTGCCTCTGTATCGCTGTCACTCAGACAGTTGTGGGAGTATCGGGGTCTGGAGGTGCCGTCCACAGGGTCGTGCTCATCATCGGATCGGTCAGGGGGAAGGGGCTTCCAGTGGCTGGTGGGGCTGCAGGGAGAGAGGAGTAAGGACAAGGTCAAGGACAAAGGACACTTCTACCCTGGAGTACCAAATCCCTGTTAGAGCACTCCAAACACCAGACGTTGCTAGGTAAAGACTTCTTGGCTCACCTAGAAGACATTCAATATAGTTAGAGAAAGGAGCACACCAGTTCAACTCTGAGACCTTTAAAACCCCATAGGACACGGGTACTGGAGAGCAGAGATCTGGGACGTGAGTGGGTATAAGAATCGCCTACAAAGTCCTGGGTCCTTCCTCTTAAAATTTTTGACTTGATAGCTCTTGGGTGGAACCCAGGGGTTCCCATCTTCAGCTTATTCCCCAGAAGATTCTGATGCAGGCCATCCATGAGCCACAGTGATGGAGACTGGATGCTTACAGCCTGGCTAAGGTAGGGGCTCTCTTAAGCAAGTTATTCTAAAAAAAGATGGCTTCTAAGAAAGAGGAGCTTTCCCCACTGAATATTCCCAGATCTGAATTTTTTTCTCCTAATCAGGGTTTCCTAAGGCCTGTGGGAACTTCTACTGTTGATCATGGCATCCTCTGTTAACAATAAGGAATGAAGCCTCAGGAATCAGGCTGCCAAGACCTTTGTTTCAGGGTGGCTCAATGGAAAAAATCTCATAATCCCATTGAGTCTTCATCAGGTCCCTGGCTCTGGAAGCCTCCAGCTATCTCTCTGAAGATATGAAGAAGCATTATCCACTGGATGAAGCAGGATCATGATCTCTCACAAGGAAAGATGGGATCATGTTCTACCCAGTTCCATTCACCTTCTTTTTTGTTTATTTCCCAAGGCCCAGGAGCTACCTTCCCCTCCTGACTATTAAAGTGCACTGTAATTTCAACACCATTTTAGAAAATATAGCCCAGTGTGACACCACTCCTACTGGGTCCCTGCTCTCGGCTGGGTCCTTAGAACTGCTGCCCTGCCCACTGCTCCAAGTGACAGAGGCACACAGATCTGCCTACAGATCCTAGATATAGTCTACTTGGGCAAACAGGAATTCCATGATCTCTATTGCCTGCAATTCTGATTTAAGAATCTGAGGAAGGCCCTTGATTTACTGGTCCTTTTAAAGTTCTATCGGAGGAAACAAGGTTCTGTGAGAAAAAGTCACTTTGTTAGCTTCCCCCAAGGTGTCAGTGAGCGATCCAGAAGAAAGAATTCCATCACTGGATCTTCTTCTGTATGAGACACAGGCCTAGGCCCCCTGGATATGGTGTCTTATTCTGCACAGCAACCCTATAGGTTGGTATGGAGAAGCTGGTTCAAAGAGATGAAGCATCCTGCCCAAGGTCACACAGTCAGGATGTAAACCTGAACCTGAACTTCAAAGCCTTGAGAAAACTCCACTCTGCGGCTAGATTAGATACCTGAGAAGAAAACAAGATCAAACCTGCATTCTCCTGCTGGCCTGAGTGAGTGTCCAAGGGGTGTAAAAGACATGTATCTCGCTCTCTTCCCCTCCCCGAAGAGCCTGAGAGAATATATGTTCAATTATGCAAAATGGCTCAGGAATGGGGAGGTCTGGCTAATAGTTATTCTAGTTCTCATGAATGAATTAACATTTTTAAAGGAATCAGAATAGCACAAAACACACTTAGTACAAACTACATTGAACATAAATGAGTCTTATTTTGATGGAGCAGAGGTACTAAAGGACTCTGAGGTGACTCTAGGACAAAATTGTGAAACTCAATGATGGCTGTACAACACAGAAAAAAAAAAAAAAACGGGGGTGGGGATTATTGTAGCTTTGGGGTTGTTTGAATTCTACATTATCGGGAGCCGGGTTTTGTTTTCATTTTTTATACAGAATTTCTGGGCACCCAGTGCTAAAGATCTGCTGTTAGGAAAAGGAAGGCCTGGCTTTGAGGAAAGACAGTGGAGTTATTCTGTGGGCAGAGGGGGTGAGATAGATGCCAGGGCTGGGATCCAGATGCAAATGAGGCACTGCTGGAGAGCCCAGCCCTCTGAATCAATTGCAGCCCTGTGCTCCTCGTCATTCCCTCACCACTCCCACATTCAGACACCTGGGTAAATGACAGCCAGGTTTCTACGCTGTTCTGTCGAGGTGATAGGCAGAGGCGGTAGCGCTGGAGAGGTGGTAAATCCCACGTCTCTGTCTTGCCTGGGCTGTGGATGATGCACTAGATCTCTGTTTGGTTCTTCCTTGGGTTCTCTTTAGCCAGTCTCCTTAGTAGCTTATACGGCCACAGCCATCAACGGGCCAACAGCAGGCAGCTCCCTTCCTCCCCAGGGCAAGAGTCACGGCTGGCAATTGGAACATTTTAACCAAATTGTTTAAAAAGCTTTCCTCTCCACAAGCCAGTGTCTCCTGCTCAGCAATGTCACAAACAATTTGGTACATAACCTAATTCCCGCTGGGAGAGCCCAGGGTGTCAGCTCCCCTCCCCTTGACTTTGCTATGGATGCTGAATCCGTGTTCCGAATTCTCGTTCCTCATCACCAGATGGGAAGCTAAGCTTTGGCTTTGGCTTTGGCTCTGTCTCTGTCCTGTCCCACTCCCACCCTCACCCCTGGCAGAGTATTCACCCCAAAGCCACTTAATGCTGAGTGCCAGGGAGATCCTCCCTCTGCTGCTTTTTCTCTCTAGCTCCGTGCTGGTTGGCTAGGTTCTGGCTGGGGGCCACTCTACCAACAGTGAATGCAATCCTCCTCAGAGCCTGAGGAGAGGGTTTCAGGACTATTCCGGCTTCTAGTTGGACAAGAGGAACTGAGCTGATGGGTGGAGGAGGAAAGAAGCTTTCTGTGTCTTTGTTCTTAATGATTTTCAGGTCAAGGGTGACGGTGGGCTGAGGGCACTAGGGTCTGAAATATGCTAGTTGCCCACCAGTTGGTGAGATGGCCTGTGTCTTCCTCTGGGAACGGGTGCAATACACAGAAGGGCCTGGCCTTCCATGCTTTCTAGACTTCCTCCTCCATCCACCCACTGACTTCCTGCCATGGGGGTTTGGGGCACTTAGCAGGGCTGCTAAGGGGAAGGCTGAAATAGTAGGCCAAATATTTTGACTCCTGTTTTTTCCCACAATGGAGCTGACAAGGAGACCCTAACGCAATTGAGATGCTTTACAAAGCACCCTGCAACCATCTGCCACGTGGGAAAAGTGACAGAGCAGAGCTGAGCCCAAGGGTTTCAGAGCAGCTCATGCCCAAGGAACGAATTGAGCCTGATCTGGGTTCAAGTTCCATCACTCCATCCACTCCCCCAATTCCATTCCATTGCCTAAGGTAACTTGCACTTCCATTTGTTCCATTCCTTAAAGGGACCTTCCATTGAACCCCTTTGGTATAACTAAGCTAAAGTCAGTATTTGCCCAGCTGCTTCACAGTACACGCATGCAACAGGTGTGTGTTAGTTCATGCATCTGGGGAACAACTGCCTGAGCCTCAGGGGGGTACACTTTGGGGTTATACCTCCTGGGAAGCAGTAAGCTTATCCTGGGAGGGTACCATGTCAAAAACAGCTTCATATTACCAGGATGATCTAAAATGTCACCGCCCACCAGGGTAACTGGCAACAATGGGATCCCAGTGAGTCAGGCTCTGCCTCTCTTCCATAGTGGGGGTGTGGGCATAATGGGCCTAACTGCTAGATCTCCCTCCCCACAGGGAGAAGAGCTGGGGGAGGTAGGGGAGGCAGGAGAACCAGGAGGGGGCTGTCACTCAGCAGCTGCTAATTTCTATTCATTAGAACTTTACAAGATGAGCAGAACAGAGGTGACGCCCATGTGTGGGCTGCCTGCAGGTGGGAGGGTTGGGGAGGGCATCGGGCATCTCCTGGGTCTGCTGTAGGGTGTGGTGCAGTGTGGGCTGCAGCCCTCTGACCCTTGTCCTCCCAGACTTGAGATTCATGCCAGGGAGGAAGGTGGCTCTGGGAGCTGGTGGGAGAGCAGACCAAAAGGCCACATAAGAGCTAGTGGCCACTGATGCACTAACCCACAGCCAGGGTATCAGTTAGGGAGGGCCCTTTTCTGGGCCCAGCCCTATGGGGACATGAACAATAGCTCTCAAACAGGTGCTGTCTGGCACTCACACGTTGCCCACGTGCTCTGCACTGAACTGAATGGAGAAGTAGTTAAGGGCAAGAGTGTTGGAGTTAAACACATGCCATTCAGCTCCTGACAATATCAGTTCCCACCTGTGTGACCTTGGTAAGTGACTTAACTTCTCTGAGCCTCGGCTTTCTCTTCTCTGAAACAGGGCTTTTCACATCTTTGTCATGAGGTTATCATGAGGATCAAGAATAAAGCATGGGAGGCTGGGGTTGTAGCTCAGTAGTAGAGCGTTTGCCTAGCATGTTTGAGGCACTGGGTTTGACCCTTAGCACCACACAAAAATAAATAAATAAAATAAAGGTATTGTGTCCATCTACAACTAAAAAAGATAAAAAAGAATATCACAGTCCCTGGTCCAGGGTAAGGACTTGGTATGTAGGAGCTATAATCCACATCACCAGTGAGTTGAGAGACTGGCTCAGGGTTTGGAGTGACTAACCGGCTTAGCTGGTCCCTGCTCTCTGAGGTAGCCACATGTAGGCTCTCCAAGGCCAGGCCAGGCCAGACCAAGAGGAATGCAGATAGGACCTGAGAAGGTGGCAGGTAGGGAAGGGAGCAAGTTAGTTTGTGCTGAGCGGGACACACCATGCTGCACTCCACGCCAGATGCCACCTACTACACTAGTCGCTCTCAGGTCGGTACAGGTACCGCATCATCAGACTGTCCACCTCTTTCTTGCGCTTCTTCTCCTCCTTCCTCGACTGCCGGAGAGTCTGCCCCGCCTCCTCACTTTCGGTGGCAGGACCCTTCTTCACGCTTGACCCACTGTGACCTGAGACAGTTGAGCCACTGGATGAGGATGAGGAGGAATCAGACTCTGTCTCGGTTCTCTTTCTTCTCGATTTGGACTTCTTCTTGTTCTTCCGAGAGCGCCCCTTCCTCCTCCGCTTGTGCTCTGAGGAGCCTTCGGAGCTGCAGCTGGAGCTGGAGCTGCTCCTTCTCCTCCTGTGCTTGCTCCGGCTCTTGTGTCCACTGCGCGTCCTAGAGACATCAGCAGCTGAGGCAGAGCGGCGGATGCTGGTGCCACGTTCTGGGGAACCCAGTCGGGCGCTTCGGGCACTTTGGATACTCTTGCGATCGTCCTCCTCAGAGTCAGGCTCTAGGCTGCTTCTCTGGAATGGGACAGGTTTGTAGCTCAAGACCTCATTGATGGCAGCCTCCAGGTCTGGGTCCAGGTAGGAGCGACGGCTGACAGGACGGACGCTAGAACTGAGCGGCTCATCAGTGGCTGAGGCCAAGCCCCGTGGCTGGGGTGGCACGGACAGACTTCGGGCCAGCGATGGATGGCTGAACTCTGAGTGTGCCTCGCTCAGGGCCACACTGGCTCCATCATCCCACTCATCCAGGCAGCTCCGGCCCAGGGACATTCGGGAGTCAGGGCTCTCCCGGCCCAGGCCTGAGGCTCGGCTCCAGGATGGGCTGAGAGTCCTGGCCAGGCCTTCAAGCCGGGAGGTGCTGCGGCGGGAGCTGGGTGAGCCTGACAGCGAGAAGCTCAGGGCGGAACGGGCCCCATCCTCCCCAGAGCCACGCCGTGTGGCCGAGGAGGCCCGGCTGACGGGCGCAGAGACCGTGGAGGACCGGTCAAAATCTGAACCCCACCGCTTTTCTAGCCCCCGGCCTGCACGGCTTCCAACCTCTGAAAAGATGGAGCCACATTCATCAGGCTCCTTGGACCTCCGGCCCTGGACCGGCTCTTCCCTGGGACCCTGGCGGGCTTTGCGGGGGGGCCTCTCTGGGGAGGTGGCGCGCTCACTCAGGGTGGTGAAGAGTGAGTCCTCGTCCCCCGTGCCCCCAATGGAGTCCTTCAGGGTCAGCCGTTTTCGATAGCTGAGTGAGCTCAGCACCGAGGCTGGCCTCTCCTCCACCCCCTTGGCATCCCTGGGGAGGCTGTTGAGGGCCGTTCTGAGTGGGGAGGGGAGGAGATAACCAGGAGTGGATGCAGAGAAGGAGGGAGGGAGGGAGGGAGGGAGAGAGAGAGAGAGAGAGAGAGAGAGAGAGAGAGAGAGAGAGGAACAGGCATTAAACCTCGAGAATAAAGACACAGGGGGTGGGAGGCAAAAGGAGGAGAAAACGCAGCAGCCCTGGCAAAGTGGTGGTGAGAGCGTTGGAGGAAATGAAGCAAAATAATTTGCGTCAGTGAAAATAGCTTCATGGAGAATGTCATGTAAATTAGACTATTGTTCTATTTCATCACTTTTCCCCCCTCTAAAACGTTTAGTTCAATTTATTTCATTGTCAACTACCTGGAGCCTCGTGCCACACTGTGGTGAACAGCAGTGGGGCGGGGGAAGGCGACATTATCTGCAATAACAAAATGCTGTTTGGCCGAATAAATTAAACCAATTAGAGGGGGCCACTGGGTACTGGTGGTGAGGGCCTGGACTTGGGGACGGGGCCTCAGGGAGTTGCAGAAGGGGGAGGAATACTACTTTTTCTACCCAGTTGGGGTTGGAGGCTAGGGAAGGATGTGCCCTGAAGGTTAAGGATAGGGAGGGGGAGGTGTGTGTGTGTGTGAGAAAGAGAGAAAGCAAGCAGGGAAGTGGCTATGGGAGGGAAAGAGGAGGGAGCAGAGGAGGATAGCTCTTCCTGCCTGCAGCTACACTGGTGAGTAGGAAATGAGAAAGGTGAGACCTGGCTTCCTAGGGTAGCTGTCTATACCATCAGAAGACTATGACTGGCTAGAAAATAGGGTGCAAGTGTCCCTATGGATGGGTGTTAGTAGGAAGCCTGTGGGGGCCAGAGATTAGAGGAAGGAGAGAATGGGCAGATAGAAGTGTACCCATGCAATGACAGGACTCAGGAACTGGTGCCTATTCATACCATTCCTATCAGAATAGCAGAGATCCAGAGTGCCCCTGTGCAGGCTTGTGGGGTCCAGAATCCCTTGTGTCACATCCCAGTCTTGATTCCAAGGGCTCAAACAATCATGTAGCCCTATCAAACTTGTTGAATGAATAAGTGGGGGGTGAAGTTTATCGAGCCCTGAATCTAGCAGGAAAACATTACCTGGGAAAAATAAGGGAGACACGCCTGGCTAAAAAGCCAGCCTCCTCTTGTGCTTATTCTGTGGGCCAGCAGACACCGAGCCTCTCATATGGACAGCAGGAGAGCCACACAGATAGTGTGAGGCCTGCCCTCTCCACACCAACGCACTGCCCAGTCACTCCTGATGCCCCAGGATGGCTTTCCTCCCAGCTCAAGGCCACGTGCTCACCTGGAACTCTTCAAGCTGCCATCATCAGAAGCTGCCTTGGAAGGTCCCTTGTTTTTTGACAACCAGGACTTGACCCCGTCGACCCGGTCCTCCAGCTCTGAGTCCACATCCGAGTCCCCTTCACTGTAGGTGTGAGGAGCAGAAAGGTAGGCAAGGCTAGGCAGGTGGTGACCACCTGCTGCCCACGAGAGGGAGCCGAAGGGGGAGATGGTATGTCTTGGGCAGGGGTGGGAGAAGAGAAGCATGCATGTTGGTGAGTTAGGGAGGAGAACAGAAAGGTTAGACAGCACACCACTCACAAGCAGCCTGTCCCCACTTGGCAGGCCACACTGCATGAGAGACACCAAGAAGATCCTGAGAGCATGGAGACAACCCTATCCCTGGTATCAGTGACAGGCTATTCAGCTGAACAACCCAATGAAAATGACAAGGAGGTCATCCATCAGCAATTACATCCAAATGGCTCTTTTTGGTTAAAATCAAGACCCTTCAGCTGTTTTTTGAGTCCTGTGCTGCTATTTGTCTGCCACGCCCTAGATGGTGGTTACTGCTGCAGCCGTTCTGTGTGTTTTTATTTATTTGTTTGTTTATTTTTGGAACTGGGGATCGAACCTGGAGTTGCTTTACCACTGAGCTACATTCCCAGCCCTTTTTATTTTGAGACAGGGTCTTGCTAAGTTGCGTAGGGCTGGCAAGTTGCTAAGGCTGACCTCAAACTTGTGATCTCAAGTCATTGAAATTACAGACATGTGGCACCACACCTGGCTCTGCATGCATACTATAGATGAGCTGCAGGCCCCAGGGTAGGAAAAAAGGGTTTCACATGACTTCAAGTTAGCTTGAACCTGGAGGTCTCCTTAGCTGTTGGTAATACCAACCTGGGCACTAGGGTAAGGAGGTATTGGCCATATCCCAGACCCACCTTGTGGCTTCCCTGGCCCTTATAAATAGAGAAAGAAAAGGGAGAACAGGGAGACATTTGCATCTTCCAGGTTAGGGACGGCAAAGGCTTCGGGATCCAGATTACCCCAAGAAGCCCAACTGGGCTCAGGAAGTCCCAGGCTATTCAGCTGATCAACCCAATGAAAATGACAAGGAGGCCATCCATCTGATTCTCCAAGCCTCCTCCTCCCTCCCTCAGGCGGCCTCTGGCCCTTGCTCCCTAGCTTCTAGCCAGGCTGACCTCAGGACTTACAGGAAAGCCCCAACAAGGCAGATTCTGAAGCTGGAGTCACAGGTGACCCCCTCATGAAGCTGTTGGGTCTTAGAGACAGCTTCTAAGTGAGAATGCTTTTCAAATTCTGCAAAATGTCTGCCCACCAAGTTCCCCTGCTACAGATAGGCTGGGATTTCTCCTTGATAAAAATTTCCTTTCATCTGTGTCAACAGAAGCGGCCCTGTTCCTGAATTATGTTCTTGAATAAATAGCCACATAGCCCATGCGTGCGCACGCACACACACACACATACACACACACACACACACACACACACACACCACTACCACTGCCACCAGAGGAAACCACCAGACTCAGTTCTGGGGACCGTGAGAGAGCCTGACTCATGGGGAGGGGAATAAAGAGGCATATTTTATGGGCTTCCGTCAAATACAGAATTATAACAAAGACGAGGCTGGCTGATGCCCCGGGTAAACAGGAGTTTAGCAGACAGCCCCAAAACCGCTAATGCAAGCCCTGTGCCCATCCGAGCCTGGCAGATTTACTGTGGTGCATGGGCCCCATGGAACGCCAATACCACCTGATTTATACACCCGGGCAAAAAACCTCCCTCTGTAGCTTCAGAGCTGGTAATTTATCACCACCGTTCATAACCGTATTGATTGCCCTTAGAAAGGAGGTGCTGTATGCATCGCGAAATCTATGTCTACATGTTAAAAGCGTTTCTGTATAAATCTCCCTTAATACTGCGCTGTTTACTGCTTTCATTAAGGTTATGGCAATAACAACTGTATCTCTAAGTAAATCGAAACATTATTTTTCTGCCCGCCTTAGCATGCTCGCTCGATAACTTGGAGCTGGGGCCCAGAGATGCTAAGAAAGGAACCATACCACCTCTCTGCCATCAGCGGGACCCAGTCAGAACCACACGTTCCCGTGCGCCTGCGTTGAGTGCATGCTGGCGTATGTGTGTGTGTATGCATACAAGCGTGAATGTGTGTGTGCCTGGCACTGGTTGGGAATATGATATTAAATGCGCATTTTATCAGCCCTTGAAGCTCCGACTGCCCAAGGATGGCAAGGCTGGAACACACATGGGACACATAGATGTGGGCCCAGAATACGAATTTTCCTCCTTACATTCAGAACAGCAAATGGGTTGAGAGGCTGGCCTGCTTGCCCTCACCTCCCCTTTAGTTGCAAGCATCCAAATGATGTTCGGGTTCTTTTCCTTAAATAATCAGGCCCGTAAACAAACTCCAGGGGCAGGCAGGCTCAGGGGGCAGTTGAAATTTTAAATGGTTGGAATTAAACCTTGTGTCAAATACAATTTATGTCCAGGCTCATGTGCTATTAGTTAACTGGGAGCAGAATCGCGGGGGAACAAACAAACGGAGACAGAACGGTGGGGGATATTAATTGTGTGTGACAACTGGGCTCCAGCGGCCCTCTATCACTGTTACACACTATTACATTTATCATTAGCTCTCACTGAGTCCTTTGCACGGCCGCCAGCCCATCCTGGCCAGGGGAGGAGGCCTGCCAGGCAAGAGAGTGGGGGAGGAAACCCAGTGCCATGCTGAAAAAACAACCTCCAAAAACAACCCTGTCGAACTTGACAGAGGATCAGCCGGATCTGCCTGAAGGCCTACACATCAGCATCTGCTGTCCAGCTCCCACCCAGAAAGAGAGAAAAGAAGAGAGGGGTGGATTTCCTGGCTTCTACTGTCTGATAGACAGCACCAACAGACACCCAGGGCCTCTGTCCCAGGGGCCCACAGCAAGCAAAGTAAATACAACTGGCCTTGTCTCCTTCCCCTGCCATGGCAGAGTGGCCAGTGATTAGCTGCCTGAGCGCTTTCTCCAAACAAGCAGTTTCGGATACCCCTCACCTTTACCCTTCTCTGCCAAAGGAAGGTGGCAGACCTTAAACACGAAGCATACTGCTCTTTTCAGGCAGCTCAGGCTCCAAAGGAGCCAAAGGATGTAGACAAACTGAGCCGGAACAGGCATCGCTCCAGGGAGACAGGCAAGGGAGGTGGGCACACTTGGCTATAAGGGAGGGAGGGCTGGAACTGAGGAAGGTAGGCTGGAGTGCTGCCCCAAGAAGCGAAGCATTGCTTTCTGATGGGGCCTCCATCCTGCCCGTATCCTCCCTCCATCCTGTGCCCCATCCTTCCGAGGAGCACGCTTCACTGCCCGCCTTCTGCCTCTGGACAGTTCCCACCTCCCCTGAGGACAGTCAGCAGTGTTAGCATTAGAGACCAGCTAAGGAGGAGAGTGTGGGGAGACCCGTGTGTCCACATGCGGCATGCAGCAGGGACCCCTGGAGGGAACCCCGTGTTAGGGGTGGTTAGACACCCGCCAGGAGAGGCAGAGAGCGCATGCGCTCCAGTCCTCACAGTTTATTCTTTCTTTTCTGATACTTTGTCACCATGTCCTGCAAACTGGAAACAGAAAACAATAGTGGGCAGGGAAGCCAAAGGAAGACAGAAAAAAATCAATGGGCAAATGGAGGTGGGCCCCTCAGCCAAGGCCCTCTCTTTCCTCATCAAGAGAGGGCTCTGGTTAGCTGAGACCAGGCCAGGGCATGAGTGATAATGTTGTCCTTAGAACCTGGCTTGGACCACCCCTAGAAGCCATCCCCCACCCCAAGGAGCTGGATCTCTGGGCCACCTAGATCTGCCTGCAGGATGGGGCCTGGCCTGGAGGTGGGAGGAGCAGGTCTGAGGTCCCTCGGGGGCTTCTTCAGGGCCTGGCCTCATCCCTGCATTGCTGGTCTTCTCACTTTGTGACTCTCTCCTCAGCCTGGGACTACAAATCTCTCTCTCCTAAGCCATTCCCCGGGTGGGTTTTATGGGAGAAAATCTCTGGCACAGTAACAAGGCATCACAGCCTTTAAATCTCTGCTCTCCCCAGAGTGGGGCAGGCGCCATCGGAAACACAGCTAAACGGGGGAATAACTCATCTTGAACAGGCAGAGCTAGAGAGCCAGGTCCTTCAGAGGCCTGGGGAGAGAAGGAGAGGAGACCCCTTACCTAGCGTCTAGCCTACCCTTTGCCCCTCAGGCCAGGGTCCAGGCTGGAATCTGATAGCAAGGGGAGGGTGGGTTGGTGGCTTGGTGGGGGACACAGAGGTTGCAACTGTCACCTGGGGCCTCATTACAGAGGTGGTCAAGAAGGCCTCCTTGCTGGCCGTAATGCCACAGAGGCCACTCCTCACCTGTTGATGAGGTCCTCATTCTCATCACTCTCCATCTCGTCCTCAATGGCAGCCTGCAGGTCCCCAATGCGTTTGAATGCCAGCTTCAGGTCAGCCTGCAGGCTCTGGTTAGCAGCTTCCAGACTCTCCAGGTCCATCTCCTAGGAGGGAAGGTGGGAAGTCCAGTGTGCAGAGGGCCATTCTCTCCTCCAGCAGCCCCAGATATTTACTTTGTGGGCACCTCAGGTGGGGACTCTGGGTATTGTACAGTCAGGTGTTAGAAGCCTAGGAAATCCAGCCTTCCCTTCTTTTCCCTTTCTCTGCCCACTGGGAGCTGGGCAGTGGATATAGATGTCTACAGCAAGTTTCTCTTAGCCGGCAGGAGCTACCTGGGTGTGGCTGTGAGTTCCAGGGCCACTGGGCTGGTAGGGCCTGGCCTTACCTGATGGAGACTTGGGTGCTACCCTTGGCTCTCCAGCCTGCCCTCAGGACTGTCCTCCTGACATGCTCCTCCCCACTCCCATTCTCTGAACCATGGTGTCTTTGCAATCCCACCTCCTAGACCAGAATGAGGTGTGTAGCCAGTGCTACTCAGGGGGCCTCCACTGTGGGGTCTGGGGAGCAGGAGGCCTACCAGTTCATGCTTCTTGCGGCTCGCCTCAGCCTCCTTCCTGGCGAGCTCACCCATCTCCTCCTTGGTGTCCCGGAGCTGCCGCTGTAGCCTCTTGTTCTGTTCTTTCTCCCGGTTCTCTGCTGCAGCGCGCTGATCCCGTTCCTCAGTCAGCTTCTCCATGTTTTCCTTGAGCCGGCTGGCCAAGCTCTGGGTGGTCAGGTAGAAAGAAAGACCAGCAGGTAGGCCCATGGGCCAGGCAGGGTAGGAGCAGCAGGGTTCTGAACCTTTGGCTAAGCTCTGGTTCTGCCACTCACTGGCTCTGTGGGCAAGCAAGTGAAAACAGGGGTGGGGGGTTCCTTTGCTTTTCTGAAAAATGTGGAGGATGACAACTGTCCTGATGGTCTTTTGAGGATCTAATAAGGCAGTGAATGTCAAGGCACTTCAGAAGAGAAAGTGCTGAGGTCATTATTATCACTAACAAGATTGAGGGAAGTTCTGGGCAGAGCCAGGGCCTATCATGTAAAAGTCTCCTCCGTGGTCAGTAGGACCACGGAGGAGACACTGAACCAATTCAGAGACACTGAACCCAGAAGCCCCAAAAGCTAGATCCTATGCTCAGAGATACTTGGCTTTATTTAGAGTTCCCAGATTAAGAGGAAACTAAGCAGTCATCAGTTTCCAAGCTGACAGCCATCTCTCTAAACCCATGGATCTCTCTACTCCCAGAAATCTGAACATGTTTTTCCTGGACAGGAAGAAGGACACTGAGCAAGAAATGAGCTGGGAGTACAGCGTGTGAGGGAAGGACCCTGCATCTGGATCTAATCCTGCTCTACCGCTGATGGGGACCTCTTAATCCCTGTCTCTAAAGTAACAGACCCAGGTTATAGGACGACTAAGGGCCATTTGTGATTATCACTGATGGGTGTAAACCACAACATTACCTTTCTGAGCAAAAGGTAACCTGAGGGAAGGTCTGGGGCCCAAGAGAAAAGGAGACAAACCTAGCAGGTCGGCCCTATTGCCACCAGTCCAATGGCCTCTTCCGCCTGCCCACTGACAGGTTTGTGACCTCAGGCAACCCATATAACGCTTTCCTGTATGTGAAATGGTGACTGAAATATTGCCAACTGTCTTGGAGCAGTGGAAGGCAGAAAATGAACTACTAAGTTTCTATAACTCTTGCTAGCTCTCATGAGGACTGGGATCCTGTCTGGAGAAGTTCAGCCAGACTCCCTCTTACATCAAGTTTATCAATGCCCTCAGGTGTCCACCTGTTTCCATTCCTCCTCTTGTGCCTGCTCTGATGACTGAGCAGCTGAAGGACAAGGTAGCAGGGATGCTTTTTGGTGACCATGCCCATGAACACAGTTCTGAGGCAGGACGGCTTAAACAAATGTTGATAAGCTTGGGAAGGAGGAGAACTTCCAAATGAGGCAAGAGGGGCATAAACACAGAGAAAGAATTCTGCCTGCCTCTCTCTATCTGTTAGGGCTGGAGCATGTTGGCTTAGGGAGATTGGAGAGAAAGGACTGACGTGGAGAACAGAGATTCCACTGGGAGAAAGGAGGGATAAACAGATAGAGAAGAAAAGAGGTCAAGCACAACAAGAGTGTTGGGGGGGAGGGTTAAAAAAATGAAAAAGAGAGAAGAGGAATGGGAAGAGGAGAAAAGAAGAAAGGGGAAGAGGGTAAGAAAGAGAGACAAGATCAACGAGAGGAAAAATATAAAGGGAAAAAAAATAATAGGTCAGTAACAGAGAAAAATGAATAGAGGCGGAGAAAAAGCAGAGCTGGGAAGGGTGGAAGGAAGGGAAAAAGGGAATGCAAAGGGAAGGGGAGAGGAGGAGAGAGCGGTGAGATGAGAACAGACTTCAACCCTTGGAGCAGTGGCGCCATCCGCTGCATATTTATGACCCTGCCAGAGAGCCAAGTGAGGGGGACAGGCGGGGGGGGGGGGGGGGGGGGGAGCTCGCGGTGGAGGAAAATATGAAGACGAAAAGCTAAGCTGCTCTGGTCCCTTGGCAGAAAGCAAGCACGGAAACAGAATGTAAAGCAGGCAGGCTCTATGGTGCCCAGAGAGCAGGCCAGGCAGGTGGGAGAAGGGTCCCCGCTCCGTCAGCTGGCCTGGCAGCTTGGCAGAGGCCTCTGAGGAGTGTTCCTGGCCTGCCCAGCCCTGTGGAGCATGCGTGCCTCCAACTACTGGGGCAGCTCTCCCCTGCTTGCTGCGGACCCGAGGCTGAACCTACCTCCAGCCGCTTCACTTGGGTCCTTTCAAACTCCAGACGTGTCTCCAGCTCCCGGATCTTTGCTTCCTGCCTGCTCACTAGGGACTTGTCCACCATAGACTGCTCTAGAAACTCCACTTGGCTCTGTAGGGCTTGTAGCTGGAGTGGAGTGGGGGGAGCAAAGGAAGAAAAAACTGAGCCCAGAAATGGGCGGGGGGGCAAAGTCTGGGGCAGAGTCTGGGGCAGGCGACATCACCATGGTGACCGGAAGGCTGAGGCAGGGAGGCATGCTGAGGGGAAGGTGGGAGGAGGGGGCCACAGGCATCCCTCACTGCCCCAGCGCTTGGCACAGATCTTGCCCTTTGGAGAGAATGGAGAATGCTAAGGACCAGAGAGGGAATAGAAATGTGAAATGAGGCAGCCAAAGCCAAAATGTCTGCTACGGTGATATGGCTGCAAGCCTAGTTCTTCTTGCTAGTTTATATTACTACTTGGAACACAGATGGTAGAGGGACACACTTTCCATACTCTGAGCTTAGGGGACCATCCTCACAGAGTGACCCTGCACCATCTCTATCAAGGGAGTCCCCAGTGCCCACCTTCTCCTGCAGCTCCTGTTTCTCCTTGTTGGCTTCCTCTAGCTGAGCTTGTAGATCACTCATCTGTGCCAGGTCCCTGGAAGCCTGAGAAAACGGTGAGAACATGGTGTACAGGGTCCCCCTAAACACAAGTCCAGGGCCCCCGCTTCCACTGAGGGCCTGGGCACCCTGACTCCCACACTGTAGCCATCCTAAAAAAAAGTGGCTAAAAGGGGGACCCAGAAGGTGACCCAGAAGAGCAGTGACTGGTGGGTTGCATGGTGGGACACTCCTGAGGAAGGGGTACCTGAGCCACTGCAGCCTTGTGCTTCTTCATCAGCTCATTCATGTCCTCCTGATCCTCTTCTAGTCGGTTCTGGATCTCATTCTTCTCACGCTGAAGGCGGCTCAGCTGCTCCTCCAGCTGGATGAAGGCAGAGACAGCTCAGAGGGCAGCAGGCCTGGCATGCCTGAAGGCCCCAGGTGGCAAGTCCAAACCTGCCCCCATGCCACCTCCTCTAGGTAGGGGTGGCAGTCAGGTGGGGAGATGATGATGGGCTGGGTCACTGGCTGGAGTGAGTTCCAGGACCAGTGATACCAGGGAGCTGCCTGACATGCTCTGGGTAGGGAGAGGAGGGAAAGGGCTGTCTGGGCAGGATAGGCAGGCCCTTGGCTTCTGTGCTAAATGACAGCTGCTTTCTGGCAGCTCTTTTGAGGCTAATGAGAAGACAGAAAAATTCTTCCCAGAACAAATGACCCGACATCCTGGCACTATCAACCTAGCCCCTGACCTATGTGTACTCTGCCTGCTTCAGGCCCCAGAGAAGGACCCTTCAAGGTGATGATGACCCCTGGCTTGGATTCTCATTTCCCCTGGGTCATCCAGCCCCCACAGCCAGTCCACTCTTGGGGGAGGGGAAGAGACAGCCAACAGCAGCTTCAGGAAATGAATGAATCTATTAGCCTGTAATTCCAAACCAAAATGACTGCGTTGGCTCCTTCTCTGCCCCATCCATCTTGTTACTGGGCTGTGGGGAGCTGGGGAAGCCTCCGCCAAGAAATTTATTAACTCGGATTTAAATAAAATGGTAATTTTATAACAGCCTTTTTTAACACAATTAAGGAATTTGAATTACTCACCTGAAAACTGCTGAAGAGCACAAATGTCAGGAGGATAAATCAAGCCCATGAGATTGGCATCTCTGGGCAGCAGGGTGACTAGCTAGGGGGCCATGAAGCCAACGGCCAAACCCAGCCTCCTCCCTTGCCCCATTTCCAGCCCAAGGAGGTACCCGTGGCCGCATCCCGGTAGTGAATTCTCTGCCGATGGATGGGCCGTGGGAGAGTGGGGAATTAAAAGAGAGGCATTAAATAAGAGCTCTAATTAGCTGCCGCTTGGGCTTGTCAGTGGGCTGGGCAGGGGGAGGGGAGGGAAGCTGAGCCATCCCATCCTCTTATTGGTGCTTCTGCTAATCTCCAGGCACCTGTTTACATCCCTCAGCCACATTAGCTGCCTTTATTTATGGTGCTGGGGCCTGTGGCCAAGTGGCCAAGCTCCCGAAAGCAGGTGGTTAAACAGGGAGATGGGCCTTGGATGGCTCCCTCCTCCAGGGCCTGTGCTCTGAGTGGAGAGAGGCAGAGGATAGGAGACCACTGTCTTTGCAGAAAGCCCTGTCATGAAGAAACCCATCTGGGGTGAAGGCAGCCACTGTCATGATTCTGTTTTCCCTCCCCCCAATCTCTGCCATGGACACCCGGACCCTTACCGCTGTCTTGGCCTTGACGATGTCATCAATCTGTAGGTGAAGGTCTTCGATCTCTACCTCCATTGCTTTCCGTGCTTTAACGGCTGCTGCACAAGTGAACTCTGACTCCTCCAGCTGGACACAGAGCCACCCCACCCCAGGGAGAAACATCAGCCACTCCCAGGAGGCAGGAGGGATGTGCAGGGTGCTCAAAGGGCAGAGGGGGCCCAGATGCTCTCTTCCTCCTCTACTCACTTCAGACCCAAGGCCACAGCCATGCTGTGGTGCACACACAGGCATTCCTCCCACAACAGGGGTGTGGGCACCAGGCCATGCCCACACCACCCCAGGGTTTGGCAGTCAGGTTGCACAACATACAAAGACCCTGGGGGCTTTGGTTGCTACAGAGGACTTCTCCCCACATTCCTGTCACTCTCCTTCCCAAGAACTCAAGAACCCATGGGAAGCGAGAGAGATATTAAAAAAAAAAAACAACTAAAAACAAGCTCCCTTGTTCCTGGAACCAATAACTTCCTTTCAGTAAAGATACCTGGTTCTTTAGCTGGGCGATCTCCCTCTTGCTGGGGGCGTTGTTCTTCAGGTGGTCCAGCATGATCTGGGCATCTGCCAGCAGGGCCTTGGTGCGCTTCAGATCTTTCCGCAGCCGCTTCTCTGACTCAAAGTCCCGCTGGCTCACCTGGTAGACACCAGCAGTTGGGACTCTGGGCTTTACCACAGGGCCTCCTCCTGTCTTTCCCAAGTCCACTCTTCATCCCTGCCCTCATTCTCAGGGTCACCCAAATGAGCAAGAATACTGAATATGCCAGGATCACACCAACCAACATACATTGGCCTGGGTGTGCCAATGTACGGGGATGTCCCCATCCCATAGGTGATAGACAGCCCCAGAGCAGCACAGGTGGGTACTCTAGAGCTCTCCTTAACCTCACCCATCCCAGCTTCTTGGCCCCAAGACTGCCCTCTCATCCCCAGGCTGGTGGGACAGGCAGATGGCGGGCCCCTATACCTGGTCGCTCAGTGCGGCAAGCTTGCTCTCTAGCTCCCTCTTCTCCCGCAGCGCCTTCTGCTTGTCTTCATACTCTTCCTCAAGCTGCACTTCCATCTGCTTTAACTGGAGTGCCATGGGGAATGGAGACCAGGGTCAGGCAGTCCCCTTCCCTGATGGGTCTCCCACCGCAAGAAAACAGTAGGGCAGGGCAGAGCATGGGTGACCCCAGAGAGGTCAGAACCCAAACTCCAAATTCCTAGAATCTCACAGAAGCTTAAGAGGACAGGATGGCAGATCACACAGCTACCTGGGCCACAGTAAAACTCATTGCAGAGTGAGGACCTGTTGGGCCAGGCTAGCTGGTGATGGACACCCCCAGATCAGGACAGGTAGACAGAGTCTGTAGGCTCTAAGGGACACATCCCAGCCCATGCAGGTATTCTGAGAAGAGATTCTAGGTCTAGAATCTCAGTGGAAGATAGGGTGGCTAAGGCAGGGAAACAAAGCCCCTCACTCTAAAGTGGTTACGGAGCAACAGGTGTTTATACTGGTAAATAAGGGCCCAGACACCATACCTTCTTCTGACATGACTGCCGGGCCTCCTCGACCTCCTCATCCCGGCTCTCCATCTCCTTGGAATGGGTCTGTCTCACCCGCTCCATCTCCATCTCTAGACGCAGCTTGGCCTGGAGGTGATTGGGAGTTGGGCCTGGGTTTTACCTTAGGAGCAGGGAACATCTCTGCCACCAGTTCCCTTTGCTTGCTCACATTTTTGCTCTAGTGGCAGCAGGATTCTCCAGAGAAGCTGGATTCCCTGACTAGATGTCTGGCACAGGCCCAGGGAGAGACTGCTGGGGGTGGGGACAATCCTGCAGCTTTTCTACTTGGTCTGCAGGCTCTAGCTCCCTGAATGGACTTGGCAGCTCAGTGGCAGGCTGGGTGAGCTCATGGCCTGCTGGCTGCAGTGCCTCCTGAGCCCCTCACTACTAGAGCTCAATCAAGATTTGTTTTTGAAAAAGCTTAACTGTCTTCACACTGTGGCTGGCACAGATCCTGGGCTCACTCAACATTTTGTAAGTGAATAAGTGAAGAGGTGAATGAATAAATGAATGTGGATCTTGCACTCCTTTGGCCCATACCCTGGGTTAGTGGTGGGATGACAGTGGTTCCTGCCATGCCTCCTCCCTCCCTTGGCCAAGCCTCAGGCACCTGCTCCAGCATCTGGATGGTCCCCGCCTGCTCATCTAGCTCCTCTTCCTGATCCTTGACTTTGGCCTCCAGGTCCCAGAGCTGCTTCTTGACCTTGGCCAGAGAGGCCTCGTCCTTAGACTCTTGGGAAGAAATGTCCTGGAGCTCAGCCTCCAATGAGACGACTTTCTGTGTGAATCCCGCAATGTCCATGTCTTTTTCCTGGAGCAAAAGAGAAGATGAGGATGGCGCAGGGCGGGTCCCAGCCTCTTGGGGGGATGGGACATGGAAGGTGGCACCACATACCTCCAGTTGCTGCTTCAGGCTAAAAGCTTCAGCAAGAAGCATGTCCTTCTCTCGCTGCAGCTTCTCCCGCTGCAGCTTCTCCCGCTGGGCCTCCTCATGCGCTTGTGAGAGCTCACTGTCAAACCTGTGAGGGAGCATCGTGACCTCCTCAGGTACAGGTGGAGTTGGGGTCCCCCACACAGAGACTGCTGGGAAGTGGTACCCCGTATTTGGATGAGGCATAAGCAGGGTTGGGGGGCATATAGCCCTAACTTTGGGACAGCAGTGAGGTGGGAGTGATATTCAGAGGTAATAGGTCAAGCTACTGAAGCCCTGCTGAGTAGCCATGCCTTGGTCTGGGGCATTTCATTAAAGAGGCCCTTTCTGTGGGGTCTGCTCCTGGGAAAAAGGCAGACAGACTCTCTTCTTTGGAGTTAAGTCTCTACCTTTGCCATTTCAAAAGATCAAAGAATGAGGAGCCAGGGTGAGGGCAGAGTGGGCATGGGAATGGGTAGGAATGGACGTCCTGCCTCATCCTGCTCACATCTCACAATTCAACTCAGCCTCTGTGCACTTGGCTGCTGGCTCCTGACCCTGACACTGGGCATCTGCCTTTGGCCAGGGCCACTTGCCCCAGCAGTACCTAGGTCACCACCAGGACACCCCACACTGGGTTGGAGGCCAGCATTCCCGCCAGGCCCAGCTGGCAGCGTGCTTCCACAGGCACACAGTCGGGGGGCCTCCTTCTCCACTCCTCACTTCTCAGCCTTCCATTTCCCGCCCAGTGACTCTAAATAAGGAGCAAATTGCTGAAATCCCTCTTAACACCTTCTCTGAATAGCTAATCAGGTTCCTGTGGAAATTGAACACCTCCCCCCAATAAAAAAAGAAAAGAAAACTCCGGGCAGCTGAAACCTAATAAGTTGCCCAGCAGGGAGTGTGGTGACATGGTAACTAGGCCAAGCTGGCACTGTCATTAGGGTGCTCAGGATGGGGGTCCAGCAAGGGTGCCAGTCTTTGGATAAAAGGGCAGAGTAGGGGTAAAGATAAGAATGGGGGACATGGATCATGTGCTGGGAGGGACAGAAAATCTTCCTACTTCCCCTCACTCTCCTCAGAGTGACAGCCAGTAGAGAAGGCAGCAGGGAGTCCAGGAGGCTCAGGGTGACCCTGGTAGTTGGGAGCTGGGAGGGCTCCACACTGCCCCCTCACTCCCGGGGCAGGGGGTGTGTCTGCCCTTCACAAAGGCAACTGATGCCTCTGCCAGAAGCCCTTCAGCAGAGGGGAAATGGGCACTGTTCCCGCTCCCTAGGGCACCCTGCTGTTCCCAGGGTGTGTGGGCTCCTCGGTGCTGCTAATAAAGGCGTCCCATTCCCATCCCCAGCCAGGGAAATTAATTTAGATTGGATTTTCTCCTGTGAGGGCTGCCCCCCTCCTTTGTGTCATTACCATAATGAGATGGAAGTGGCACGGTAGTTTAACGACATTCGTCAGGAGAGTGTGTTTGTGTAGCTGAGGCAAGTGAGAGCAACGCAGACAGAGCCGGGTAGGGGCAAGGGGCAGGGACAGGGATGAGGTGGTTCTGCATGGGGCCTGGCTAATGCCAGTCCTCACTAGGCATGGGACAGGGTGACAGGAACACACTGGGAGGAGCATATCTGAGCAGAGGCCTGTGCAGGCCTTCAGTGTGGGGATCTGATCCAAGATATCGCTGGAGGCAGGAGTGAGTCCCCATTCACATGCCAGGACCAATGACCATGCAGGCCAGGTTCCTGGTCAAATTCGGGTCCTTTCCTCCCTGAAAGGATGAGGGAACCCTATCTGTAGTCACTCTAGAAGACTCTCTGAGCCCAGGGCAGGGGGCCACCCACCTCCTCTGCTTCTTCTCCAGCTCATGGTTGCGGACTTGCTGGCCCTCCAGGTGCAGCTTGGTGTCCTGCAGCTCAGCTGTTAGTCGCTGGCACTTCTTCTTAAGTTGCTGCAGAGCCCGCTGGCTTTCATCACTATCTGCCTGTAGGTCCCCAAGCTAGAGGACGAGATGAGGTACAAGGTCAGCAGCCATTGAAAGACTCATAAGTATTGGTGGAAAGAGGTGAGGGAGATAGATGGAAAAGAGGAAGATCCCAGGATGAGGGATGAGGTGCGGGAAACTAAGATGCCCCAACAGTAGCTTGCTCTTGGTTGTCCCTGCAGGACAGGCCAACATGCCCACCCTATTCTTCCTGAGGCCTGCCTGCCTCGAGCCACTCACTGGGCTGACACTCACTGGTGCTGAGGCCCCAGCCCTCTCAAGCACAGACTCCTGCTCCCTGGCCAGCCTCACCCGCCTCTCCAGCTGCCTCTTGCTCTGCTGCTCCACCTCCAGTTTGTCTTCTAACTCCTGCTGGAGCCGCTTCTTGGTGAAGTCCACTTCCCGCACGGCTCGCTCATACTTTAGCCGCCACTCGCCCCCTGTGGGGTGGGGGGCAGATAAGGGAGGACAGAAGTGCTGAGAATCCCCAAGAAGGGGCAGAGGGGAAGGAGGGGCAGGAAGGAGCCATGGGCACTAAAAGGGAGAAGACTAGAGGAGGGTGCTGTGGTGACATGTGCTGACCCCTTCCTAAGGACTGTCAAGATGATGGCCCTCAGACACTGTCATTATGGTTGTTAATCCCTGTACTTATCAGTACCTCTGTTTTCTCATCTACTTATTTCAGTCCTATAATAGCCCTCAGAGGGGAGACAGGCCTGGACAAGGGGCACAACTGCCCAGGGGTGGGTATCTCTCAGGCCACTGCTCAGCTCCTCTGTGTCAGACCCACCTGCATCATCATCATCCACTTCCCCGTTGATCTCAGCTGCCCGGATGAGCCGGGCCTCCATCACCTCCATCTCCATCACTTCCATTTGCTTCTTCAGTGCATCATACTGGGTCTGCAGGAGAGGGGATTATGAGGTGTACATCCTGACCCTCCCCTAGACCCACTCACACCCTGACCCCCAACAGACCACACGCTTACCCAGGGCAGACGGGGATCTGAGCCAGTGGAGAAGATGCCAACTGGCCTTGAGGGAGCAGACTGTTGCAGTCACTAGCCTTCAGGGCTCACCCTGGCCCTGCCCTTACCTGCAGCTCCTTCATTTCCTTCTCAGCTCGGAGCCTCTCCGCTGTCTCTGCGTCCAGCAGCTGGGAGGCGGACTCTCCCGTGTTACGTTCATCTGTCAGCTCCGATGTCAGCTCTGAGATCTGGGGTTGGGGGAGGGGGGTCACTACCCAGGTGAAAAACCTGCCTCACTCAGCCAGAATTGCAGGGGAACTTCTGAAGGCCGGGGCGCCCTAGATGGTGGGCCGTTTCTCTGGTGCCAGCAGTCACTCACCCGGGTCTCCAGCCGGTCACTGTTGAGCCGCAGCTCGTTTCGCTCCTTTTCCACCTTCTCAAGCTTGCTCCGCAGCTGTTGGATCTCCTCCTAGGGTGAAGCAAGGAGGACAAAGTGGGGCACTCTGAGGAGCTGGGGCCCAGGGTCTGTATACCTGTGTCAAATAAAGCTGATGAAGCTCAGGTCTGACCAGGACATGGGGAAGGCACATTCTCAAAGGAAGAGTTGTGGCTCCTGTTCCTAGGCCCTTCCCTATAACCTGAGGATGTCAAGATTCCATCCTAAAAGGCTACCCAATGGGGGCTGGGGTTGTGGCTCAGCAATAGAGCGCTTGCCTGGCACGTGCGGGGTCCTGGGTTCGATCCTCAGCACCATATATAAAACAATAAAATAAAGGTAATATGTCCAACTGAAAAATAAATATTAAAAAATAATGGCTACCCAGGGGCCCTAGCACAATCCCAGAGGGAACCTGCTTGATGGGCATAGTTTAAGAACACTGGACACCAGCTCATGGGACATAGAAACATCTTGGAGCCCAAGATAAACCCTTTCACAAGTGGGTTCTTTGCAGTGACCTAGCCGTGCCCAGGTGGTTGCTTACGTCTTTGTTGCGAATCTGCTCCTCTGACAGCTGTACTTCGATGAGGGGTCGAACAGTGGTAAAGAGCTTCCACCAGGGCCAGTCCTTCACCCCTTTGTTCTTCTTGATGTTCTTTTGTACACAGCGAATGGCCAGGTCCTGGATCTGCAGTTGAGGTGAAGATGGCTCTCAGTCCCCTGGCCAAGCCTGGTCAGGGAATTTACCCACCACCAACACAGCCCCTGGGCCTACTCCTCTGGCCCCCTGACCCAGAGTCAGACCTTATCCATCCCCACCTTGCCCCCTGCCTCCCTCCATCTCTCAGAGAGTGGGCAGCCTGGGAGCACCATACTGGGCACTAACCACTCCACTGTCATTAGGAATAATTTCATCTGCTTTATTTGCTGCCTGATTATTTCTAGCACCCTGGCCTAGCTGTGCTATAAAACCTAATCTTGCTGAAACACAAGAGGCGGCAGTGCTGGCTGTTTTATGGACTTGCTAATAAGAAAAGGAGTCGCTGACACAGCTCCTTAATCTTCATGGAGCAGCCCATGATCCAGAGCCCACCTTTGCCTGGGCCCTACTTCCCACCCCCCCTCTACTGAGCCCTCCAACCAGGATGCATGGTCCTGCTGCTGGGCATACCAGTGTGCTCCCCACCCTGGCCCAGGGCATGGTGCCCTTGGGAGAGGGGTTCATGTTGAGCTTGAGACCCATGGGAGATCCCACGTAGCCATGGTGCCTCTTCCTCAGGTGAAAACCCATAAGCTCAAGATTTCCTGTCCTACATGTTTCCTGCATTCCCACCTCCCCCAGAACTCAGCTGTGCCCATGTAGGGTGGGGTGTCCACAGAGAAGCACCTTTCTCTTCTTGAAGTGCTGGCGGGCGAGGTAGCCCCTGCAGGCCGCCTGGAACAGGGTTAGGTGTCTACTGGTCTGCTCATCCCGCTGCTCCTCCAGTCGCGCCAACGTGCCTGCCCGGAAGAACACCTGTGGGGGAAAAGCAGCCAGGTAAACACCTGAGACTGGTCAGGACAGCCCAGGGAAGGAAAGGGAGGCAAGGTGAGGAGCTGGAGGGGTAAGTAGCTGGCACAGGGAGCCGGCAGGTCAGGAAGTGTGGCCCCTGGTTTGGGAAGAGCCTGAAAATCCACTTTGTCCAAGAGAGGAGGGGAGGAGCAAGAAGGAGCAGGAAGCAGCTCGGGGAGGGTGAGTGGGGAAGGGCCAGGCTGGGATGGGGAGGATTTGAACCCGGAGGAGGAGCCAGGTAGGAAATCAAAGACAGATGAAAGGCTGGGAAGCCAAAGGGAAGACACCTGGGGCAAGGAGGGAAATGAAGCCATCACGGGTCAGACAGGGAAGAGACACCTTTCAGCCACATCGGTGGCTGTCAATGCCCCCTATGCCAGGCTTTACTATTGATCTTAACCACTGGCTCCAGGTGCCTGGGACCAGGTGAAGAGGATGGTGAAGTCTGGGTGTGGGATGGTCCAGGAAGAAGGGGGATGGGGCGGTGGGAAGCTCCTGTCCTTCTCGCCCTGCTGCTCAGTTTCATTCCAGAGGTGTCCTCTCATGTACCAATGCTCCACCCCCCACACACCCAGGTTTCAACTTCTCATGAAGAAGCCAGTGAGGTGGGCGGGAGTTGGCTCTGTCAAGGGACTCGTCATACAGGTTTGGGGGCTGGAGGACAGAGAGTAAGGAACCAGCTGGACACCCCCACACCCAGCCTTTCGGCTCACTCCTTGCTGCTCTGAGCTGGGGCTAGGTAAAATTTCCCTACAAAGAGAAATGGGGACGGGGATTGGTCAGGTGAAGAGAGACTCCGGTGCCCTTGAGAGGGCAAAGAGATACACCTGGTATGTGTGGACCTACACCTGGCTCAGAACACGGAAGACTCCCTTTTTGTAGGGGCAGAGAAGATAGGAATTCCACAGGAAACCCAATTTATGAAAATGTACTCGGAACCATAGGGATGAATCCCAAGACCCTCTTTGGGAAAGAAATGGGAAGAGGGCCTAAACTTTCTGCTGAGGAAGCTTTGCCTCTGGCAACTTCACAGAAGCCTCATCCCAGAGTCTGGTCTTGGAAAAAGCTAGCTCAGGCCTTTGTGACACTTCCCCAAATCTCACAAGGGAGGGCTAAGTGAAGTCTCCCATGGGTCTCGAGCTTAACATGATCCTAAATTTCCCATAATGTGTGAGCCTGAAATTCCAGTGAGAGGGTGGGGAGGGAATATCCAGTTCCCCCCGGAGGTGGGCAAACATGTTTGGTTAGCACACACAGCCATCTCTATGCCAGGGCAAGAGGGAGATGCCAGCACAGGGGACAGAGAATGACCCAGAAACATAATGAGCAGAGAAAGAATGGTTCTGAGCTACAGCAGTGAGCTTCAAATCTCTTTTGGACATTCCTGGGGCCAAGAGTCCCTCTGAGTATTAGGTGAAAGCTCACGGCCATTCACACAAATCTTACAATGTCAGGAGGCTTTCAGGCTGCCCAAGTCCTTGCCTGAAACCTCAGGACCCTCTGGGTTCGTGTGAAGACCCCTCCTCTGAAGACTGATGACCACACAGGGAGTTGTCCCCCATCAGTTGATACAACCCACAGCCTATAAGACTGGAGCCTTCTCACCCAACCAGGTGTGAGCAAACACTCAACCTTGCCCCCAAGCTGTGCCCCCAAGACTGGGCCCTGGGGCTCCCCTGCCTTAGCTGGGCTTTAGGGAGGACTCAGGATGGAAGGTCTGAGACACCAACCAGAAGAGGATCAGTCTGTACAGGCCCACTCCTGCCTGGGATATGCCTAGGAACCTGGAAACCTGTTTGGAGGGGTACCACCCGTCCCAGTGTCACCCAGCAGCTGTGCGGCTGGCTGAAATGGCTGTAGACTGTGGAAAATCCTGAGTGTGAGCTTACCTCTGAGACACCAAGCAGCCTAGGGCATGTCCTCAACTGCAGGCAGCCCCAGAGAGGAAGCCCAGCTGAAAGTCCCTGGGCCTAAGAAAAGCCTGGGAAGGGGGGTGACCAGAGAGAAGGAGGTGACAGAACAGAGACCAAAGGAGGTGAAAGACAGAGACCAAAACCAGAAATGACAGCAAAAGAGGGTGGGACCACCAACAGACACAGGACAAAGAGAGAGACAGGAACAAACAGGATCAGAAAGTAAGAAACAGAGAGCAGCAAGGATTGCTGAGGCCCAAAGGAAGACAGAAAGCCAAAGATGGCAGACGGGAAGCCACAAAGACACAAGGATGGAGGGAAAGGGATTCACAGTGAGGAAGGGTAGGAAAACCAAGACCCTGACTCAAAATGCAGAAAGGAAGGACCGAGAACAGAGGGGACAAGTAACACACAGTACCTCCTTCCACCTTCCACTCCCCAAGAGGCTCTGGGGCCCAGAGTTCCTTCCCTCTCTGCTGACAGAAGGATGGGCCCAGAACTGGCTCCCCACTGCCCTCCCTTCCACCTCAACCCTCAGAGCACATACACCAATGCTGCCTGTCCAAGTGTCCCTGTCTGGGGAGAGGGACGTGCAGGGCTCTCTGCCTGTGGAAGGAGCGCTTGGCTGACCCTCTGGTGTGGAAGACAGCACACTGCACCCAGGGCTGGGTGTGACTGCCTTTTATCATCACATTCCATTCAGATGAGGAATCTGGCCTGTGGGCAGGTGGTAGCAGCACTGCTTCTCCGTGTCCTGCTTGCTCTTCTCAACCCTGGCAGCCCTAGAAGACTCTCTAATGGGGGCTCTGCCCTCTGGGGCACTCTCCCTACAGCCTTTCAGTCTCCTGGCCCACTTCCTCTGAGTCCAGTCCTTCTGTCCCTCCACTCCCCACACAGGACTCAGGCTACCTTCCAACCCACTCCCTCCTGACACCAGAGCGAGCCCTGTTGTCCAGAGGGCAGAGAGTCAAGGTTGCTGCCCCTAGAATACCTACACCCCTGGCTCCTGGCCCTGAAGTGGGCACCTTGCAAGAAGCAGCAGCCTCTGAGAGTCTGTGCAGTTTGTGAGGCAGGACTCAGAAGGGTGCCGGGAAGATTTCTGAAGACTGACTGAGGAGGAGAGAGAACAGGAGGAGAGGAGCAGCCACCTGACAAAGGCCACCAAGGAGAGAGGACCTGACTACCTTCCTGTAGAGCAACTCACCCGGCTCAGGCCCATGCAGCAGCTGCTCTTCTCCAGGTCCAAGGACTCCAGGAGCTCCTCCACCGCCTGAGAAGAGAGGCCTGGGTCAGGAGGCCAGTTCGTGCCTCCCCAGCTCCAGATTCAGCCCTCCCTTTCCTCCTCCCGGCAGTCCATTATTTATTCCTACAAGCCCTTCCGGTGGGCTTCTGCAGTGTCGGAGACTGTGTTTGACTCTGGGGATGCAGAGGTGACTACAAGAGGAACAAACTGTCTTTCTGGGGAGTGAGACAAGGGAAATATATAGAGAAGGAAGCATCGAAGTCCTGAAAGGCACCATGGAAGAGGCATTGTTTGGGCTGAGAATTTAGATACATGTAGAATTAGCTAGAGAAAGGAGGGGAGAGGGCAGTTTAGGTAGTGCTACTAGCAGGAGCAAAGGCCTGGAGCAAAGGTGGCAGAATGCTCTGGGGAAGCTCCACACACCTCGGCAGAATGCTCTGGGGACGCTCCACACACCTCACAACACCTGGAGTGAAGGGGTGACCAAGGAGGTGTGTAAGGTGTGTAAGGAGGAAAGGAGGCTAGAGTTTGCCTCAAAGGCAAGAGAAGAGGGAAATGCAGGAGATGCTAAGGAGAGGGAGCTCCCTAACATAAGAAGACAGGGGAGGAGGGCACAGAAGGAGGAGGAATCTAGGGCTACCGCTGGGGTTGCTGACTTATGTAATGAAACAGATAATGGGGTCACTCCCAAGGCAGGGAACACAGGGAAGAAGTGGGTTTGGGAGGAGAGAGAATGAGTTTGGTTTGAACATGCTGGGTTTGAGGTGTAAGAGGAACACAGATAGAGAGGTTCAAAAGGCGGCTATGAATGGCTTGTCTGGAGCTCGGGAGAGAAGCCTGGGCTGAGGTATCGATCTGGGAGTCATCAATATATATGCGGTAATTGAAGTGATGGGTGTGAATGAGGCTGTCCAAGAAGAGGGAGTAGAATTGAAAACAGATACAGCCAAGAAGAGAGTATTGGAGAGAGAGAGAGACCTCACTGAGGGGGTGAGTAGAAGTGGAGCAGCTCCACGGGGATGAGAACAGAGATGGGGAAACTAGGAGTGGCTACAAAGAAGCGAGCAGAGATGGTTTCAAAAAGAAGAGAGCCATTAGCAAAGTCACTTGTTGCCAAGAATTCAAGTGACTGAAGGATTGATTCTGGCAACATGGAGGGAATGAGAAGATGAGAAAATCAGTCCCAGGGTACCAAGGAGAGGAGACCAGGCAGCTGTGGTAAAGAAATGGATGGTGGCTGGGGTGAGGGCTCAGGAGAGGAGTTTATTGTTGTTTTTTTAAATTTTTTGGAACGGGGATTGAACTCAGGGGTACTTAACCATTGAACAACATCCCCATCCCTTTTTATTTTATTTTTTTAAATTTTGAGACAGGGTCTCACTAAGTTGTTTAAGGCTTTGCTAAGTTGCTAAGGCTGGCTTTGAACTTGTGATCCTCCTGCCTGAGCGACCCCCATCTCTGGGATTACAGACATGTGCTACCACTCCTGGCAGAAGTAAGTATTGATGGTACAGGACAAGGGAGAGACAGAATGTAGGCCAGCCTGAGAGGCTTGACAGAGATTCCTTTCAGAGAACAAGTCTACAGAATGTTTCTTCACAGGGCAAGAAGAACTGAGAGAGGCTGAAGCATGAGAGGAGTTAACATTGATGGAATGGTCCCTGGGGGAGAGATGGATTCCAAAGCACAGAGGAAGGAACTACAAAAGAGAAGGGGTACTCTCCCACCAACACAGGAGGGGTGGGTGGGGGGAAGGAAGCAGAAGAGAAGTTTGAAGATGATAGGAGGAAGAGCTTGATTCTATTGGAGTTTGAAGGCAAGATTACAGGAGGGTTGGGGAAGATTTTTAGGAGAAAGACAAAGAATAGAATAGCAGGTAAGGATTTGGGGGTTAGGGCCAGATAAAGATGGGACAGATGGAAGACTTGCCGGGCCACCCTGAAGGCCCACCTAAGGCTGAAGACCATAAATCTGTAGGAATTCAAGTCTACATGGTTGTATCATTTTCTCCCACAACCTTTGGGAGTTTAAAATGAAGAGTGTAGTGCACAAAGGCTGGCCTCTGGGATGGGGGTTTGGCAGAGCAGGTACCATGGAAGGCTCAGGAGAGCTGGGGGTGATAAAGGCTGAGTGAATGGCAAGATGGACCATGGCTTCAAGGCTGAAAGGGAAAGGGAAAAAAATCAGAAAAGAATTGAGAGAATAGAGAGAATGGAGTGGGGTCCAGAAATTAGAGGTCTTGATGACATCAAAGACCAGTTGTCCTAAGAGGAAGAGAAGAATGAGAACCATAGGTAGGAGGTTGTATTCAGAGAAGGCCACGCTGGAATTTAAGATTTTGGAGGTGAAGCATTTCCAGGGATGGCAAGGTGCAGGGTGTAGCCATGAGTGGGAGACTGGAATGGGAGTCAAGGGCCAGTGAGGGGGAAATGAAGGGAAGAGAGGGAGATGGGCAGAGGAAAGACAGTAGAATGAATCCAACATAACTTCCCTATGTTCATACATGAATACATGACCAGTGAAACTCCACATCATGTACAACCACAAGATGGGATCCTAATTAGAATAAGTTATACTCCATGTATGTATAATATGTCAAAATGCACTTTACTGTTATGTATATCTAAAAAGAGCAAATAAAAAAATTTTTTTTAAAGGGACAGTAAGAAGAGGGTATGAGACAGGTCACACCAAGGTCTTCTAGGACACTGGCAGCTCTAAGAATGGAGCAAAGGTTTTTGAGGGCTCTATGATTGTGGGTCTGTGACTCAGAGGTCAAGGGGAGGGGGCACTTGGGGAACATCTGGGCATCACTGTGGGGCATCCTTCCCATTCTGCAGGGTACCCTCCTTTTTAGGGAAGCCTCCTAAGGTTGGGGTGCCCTCAGAATAGTGCTGGGTAATTGAGGCCAATACAGAGGGAAGGAGGGTTCCTCTGCTCAAGGAGCCCTCTGGCTGCCTGAGGAGCTGCCCCTGGGGGTCAAGGTTATAGCCTTGAATGACAGAGACCACCCCCCTTCTGTAGTTATGAATTTATCAATCTTGGCTGGTAAGAGGCCCAGCAGCCTCACACTAACCCAAGCACCAAGGAGGTCTTGCCATATCAACCTTGCTCTTAGGAAGAGCTGGCCCCAGTCTCAGACAGCTTCTTGATGCAGGGACCAGATCCATGAACAATAAAGCTGAGGGATCTACGTGTTATCATTAGGGCACCCAAAGCACCTAATCAGCCAACTGGGAGACCCTGGCCCTGCTCACTCTTGGATAATTGCCTGGCTCACCAGAGAGCACACATCCCCAGGTTCAGCCTCCAGGGAGGATAACTCCTCTCCAGTTACTACAGACATATCCCACACTGCCTTCTCCACTACACAGTGTCCCTGTCTTAACCCTTGCTGACCAAAACCAGGAGCCTGAGCAAAGGCAGACCCACTGTCTCCAGAGGAGGAAGGGCAGATGGGTCTGGGAAGGGCAGCTGCTTAGAGGGGTCTGAGCGAGTGAGAGGGGTCTGCAGGTGGTCTGGGAACCTAGGCCTACCCTCTTCTCATCCACCACAATGTAGTTACGCCCGTGTTTCTTTGTCAGGTGTGGGGCCAGGACATCAAAGCGACGGCGGAACTCAGAAAACACCATGTGGTCAGGATAACCTGGAGAGAGAGAGAGAGAGAGAGAGAGAGGACATGGCCCACAGTAAGGTCTTTAACAACTTGCCTCCTCCCAGCATGGCCCAACAGTCACTGGTGCCAGGTGGGGAGTCACCTAAAGGGGAGAAACTGCAGGGGTGGGGAACCTGCAGCTGAGACAGGCCCAGAAAGGACAGTTGAAGGAGAGGAGGCCCAGAGGACCATCAGAGTTGCTCCACACCAGGACAGAAAGATTAAAAAGGGTTAAAGTAAGGGGGATCAGGTGGCACTAACCACCTGGAAGGACGGGTGAGGGGACCTGGGTAACTTCTAGGATGCTTTGCAGCCCTCCAAGTGTAAAACTCCATGATGATGCAGAGACCAACGCCTTGAGGACTCACTCAATAAGAAATTTCTCACTCAATAAGAAAAACAACAGGACACCAGATTGTAACTGACACAAGGGCTTGGAATCCTGGCCCTGCCTCTTACCAAAATGTGACCTTGGGCCAATCATTCCACCTCTCTGAGTTTTACTTTCTTTACCTTTAAAAGGGGCCCTAGCACTTATACTGCACGGTAGTCATGGAGACTAAAATGAGAAAATATGTAGAAAACACAGCTTGATGGGATACTCAGTAAAATATTCCTTTCCTTTCCTTTCCTTTGTTCTGCTGAAGCAGGATGTCAAATAGGGCTCTGCTCCCTGTCCCCACCCTGACCTTCAGCCCTAGGCCAGGTGGCCAAAAACACTAGTAGATATTCTTTCCTTAAAGAATGTCTGGGCTTAGAGTCAAGGGAAGGGTGAGAGGCTTCTGGCTTAAAGCAAGGTCAGAACAGAGGCCAGCAGGAATGACCCCCTGTCACCTGGTCTCTCCAGAGCCCATAGTAGAGGATCAGGAGAGCTACTCCTACAGAATCATAGTATTTCAAACCAGAAAAGGGTCCTAGACCAAATCCACCTTATCTTTCAGGCAAGGAAACTGGCCTGAAAGATGGAGCAATAGCTTGCCCAAGGTCATGGAGGCTCTAGCTGAAGCTGAGCTGGACTTCACACCTGGGTTCCTGTCGGCCAGCTGGGGCTTGCTGCACCAGGCCGGCCAGCTAGCTCTGGGAAACCCTCCAACTGGGAGATGAGGCTGATGCATGTGCCTGATAATTGAAACAGGAGGCGGGGGCCGCTGAGAGGCCAAGACAAAGTGAGCTATTGATTGTATCTGAATTGCAATTAAATTGATGGGCCGGGATAGCAGGTCTGGACGCTTGGCATCTTAATTAATCATCAGTGCTATCGATGGTGGCTGGGGGCCGGGGAATGGGGAATGGGGAGGGGGGGGCTTGCCGCTGCTGGCCTCATCGATCTGCTTGTTTGAGTAAAGCACATTGATTTTGGTTCAGAGCGGTAACAATCTGGTTTTGAAATAATAAACACCAACTCCATATCAAGACGTGGGGACAGATCAATGATTTATTTAGAGCAGGGCAGGGAGCCGGTTTCCTTGCTTTGGCTGCTAAGGAAAAGTGATGGTGCCCATAGGGATATCTCAAGGGGACCTGGCTGTGGGTGGACAAGATCCTGTCTGCTCTTCTAGCTAGGGAAAAAGCAGAAAGCTGGCTACTCCTAACTTCTTGAGCAAACAAAACCCTACTTGAGAGGCCTGACTGTGGAGTCAGCCTGCTTGGATGCAATCTGGTTCAGCCATCCATGAGCTGTGTGACCTCAGGCAACCTACTTGGCTTCTCTAAGCTGCAGTTTCATTTGGAGATGATGATAGTTCCTACCTCAAGAGGTTGTTGTGAATTAAAGTGTGGAAGAGTCGTGAATAGAACCTGGTGTGCTATAAATGCGCTAAGGATGGTATACTACTACTACTGCCCTCCCCTTCTCCCTTCTCTTGCTGGGTCCATAAAAAGGGTATGCCTGACATTTCTTGGGAATTTTAAGTACTTCAGAGAGATTCAGCACCTGGCGTCTCCCTGGACAGATGGCTTTGAAAGGGCACTGGGTCTACTGCTATAGGAAGAGCTGACTCTTCCACACTAGAGACTAGTCAAAGGAGGGAGATGTGGGAAAAAAACAATGGAGCATGGGGGGCGGGGAAGAAAGAGGATTAATAAATACTTAAATCCGGAAGGGAGAGGAGGAAGAGAGGAGTCACAGGTGGAAAGAAATAGAGAAAGGAACACTTTTGGGCTGAGAGAGGTGAGAACAGAGACTCAAGAAGAAGGCACAAGGGTAGGAAGGAGCACAAGAAAGGAGACCTTGAGCCATTTTGAGAGGGAGGGGAGCAGCTCCTGGGTCCCATCTGGAAGGCAGGGCAGGATACAGCAATCTCCAGGAAAGGGAGCCCCAGGATGAAACGAGAAGGTGCCTTACCTTGGCGGTACATGCGCATGGCATCAAGCAGTCGGGAGCCCCGAAGCTGGGCACGGAGTAGAGGCACATCAAGCTGCAGGAGCCCAGCTTCACAGGGGTCTCCTGGAGGCAGGTCCAGCTCGCTGCTGCTGCTGACGCGGCGGGAGGAGGCGGATCGGGGTTCCCCAGCCCAACCCTCAGCTACAGGCAGGAAGCAGTGAACAAAATGCATCTTGGACCTCTTGATGGTGTCAATGAGGGCATCCTGCCAAAAGGGAAGGGACCACCTTCAGTGGGCTCTGATGGCCCATGCTCAGGAGAGCAGGGACTGATGCCAGCTCCTGCACTGCTCACAGGATAGCAGGTGACCCACTACCATCTGGGACACGCCAAGCCTGGACAACTCTGTCCTCCCCAGGTCTGGCTGACCACTCAGAGGCAGCAGGGCTGAAAGGTGAACCCCACCAGCAGTGACCAGGTAGGGTGGGATGCTGGGTGGGCACTTGACGGCCTGGGTGTGTCCAGAGTGCCCAAGCCTACCTGCTAGTGGTAAGGAAGGGACCCAGGATCTGGCTGAATACTCACCACCTGCAGCTTAATCTGGATGCACAGCGACTTCTTCTTGACAGCTGCCATGCCTGTTGTAAAGGTCTTCCGCATGCTGGTGGCCCGGCGCAGTGCAAGCTGTGAGCCACCCTCCAGGCCAGCGATGGAGCCCGAGAGCACCGTGGCGCTGCCTGCCCGGCCCAGAAACAGGTTGCTGATGATCTTTCTGCCAGAGGCAGGAGGGTAAGGGAGAAAAAGGAGTCACATTCATGGGGCAGCAGTGGCCATTCCTCCTGCCAGGATACCAAACCACCCCCAGACAGCTATGGCCAGGGGCCTGAGCTATTTGGGCTGGAGTCACATGTCCCACACCCTACAGAGAAACAAGAGAGATATTTTCAAACAACAAGAAGGGAAAAATCTGAGGTGGGCAGAAATCAAGGAACAGGCAAAGATGGGGCAGAGGGGGGTGATGCACTCTTCTCCCAGCCAGGGAGGACCAGGCAGTGGGTTTCCAGCTCAGCAGGAGAGGTCAGAGTTCGACATCTGCTAACACACTGTATAATTCACTTATTACATTTCCTGTTCATTATCTCTCTCCCCCACTGCTAGAACGCAAACTCCACAAGGGCAAGGATTTATATAGTCTTCACTGCTTTCTGCCAAGTACCTTGAAGTCCCTGTCACAGAGAAGATGTCCCACAATAATGTATGCAATGAATGGATGACACGGGTTGTACGACTGAGTGGTTTCTAAGGCTCCTTCTGCCTTGTCTGAAGAACGTGAGGGTGTTATTCAAATTGAAAACTATGGGTATTTCCAACCATGTCTGCCTCCTGCCTCTATTCCAGAAGGCCATGCCCATGTTCTCAAGGCCAACTGGTCTTGGTTGTTGCCTCTCAGGAACTGAAGACTATCTACCTTGCTGGTGAGAGGCCTCTGGGACACCTCCATGGGAAGGGGGCCCAGAGAATAGTTGTGGGGACAGGACATGGACAGACAGAATAGTGTCCTTACTTCTGGGAGTCCTGTAGGAGCCGGGGGGCATTCTGGGTGGCTGGGTTCTGCTTGGTGTAGCTCAGCCAGCCAGTCACGTTGTACTCTACCCAGTTGGTGCCATGGCTGTGACCCAGGAGAAAATGATGTGGTTTGCTGCTGCGCAGAAGGGGACTTTGGCCTAAGAGTGAGCAAAGCAAGGTTCATATTGTCAGGGGACAGGCATACAGCCCAGGGACTTAGTGAGCCACCCCAGGGAGTACCATCTGGACCCACACAGGTAGGTCTTCTAGAGAGGAAGCAGAGGAGCTACCCTCTAGGAATGCCCACCTACCTTTTTTATCACCTTCCTGGGGGCCATAATAGGAGAAAAGGCGTTCCAGGAGGGTATCCTCAGTGGCCCCTGGCACCAGCGCCTCCTCTTCCAGCAGCCATAGTAGGCCCCTTGCCTCGTCTGTGCGGGCCAGCGAACGGACCTATGGAGAAGTGAAGAAATCCCAGCTTGCCACATGGAGCTGTGGGAGAGGAGGCAAAGTCTTGGCCCCAACCACATACCAGAAACAACTACACACAGCCCGCCAGCACAATGCAGCTCTGGCCACTCAATGCTGACACCTTGTGGAGGAGGCCAGTAATGAGAGGAAAGAAGGGCCAGGAGAGAGAAAGAGATGATTCCTGGCACTTGGATCCAAAGGCCCCAAAGACTTATTACTTGAGCTCCTATGCAGAGGCTCCCTTCCATTCTCCTCCTGTCCGAGGGTACAGGGGCTTTTATGAGGCCCATGTTGCCCTCACTCCCTGGCACATTAAGTGGGATAAAGTCAGCAAGCTTCTGACAGTGCATGACCCAAAGGAAGCTCTCCATAAATGACAAATGTGGGGTTAACACTGGTGCCTGAAAGGAGAAAACCTAGGGAGGACTCAGATTGCTGCAGGATCCCCGCAGGGTATAAACTGAAGGGCCAAAAGTGTGTGACAGGTGACTTCGTGGATGTGGTAGCCAAAACAAGTGGAGACTGGAACAAGCTAGAAAGAAAGTGTCCTCATTTAACAACTGCCACTCAGCTGCTGTCCTAGAGTAGCACTAACCTAGTGTTAATAAATCATCTAGTTTTCAACAGAAGGTAAAAATACTGCATTCTGATTTCTAATACCCCCTGAAGATCATGCAAACTAGGCCTATAGCTACATATGGCCTGAAGGTGCCTTTTCTATGGAATTCCCCTGCCTTCCTTAGAAAGAACTGAACAGACCCACACCACATTCTTGCCTGGCCTTTAGGGACTGAGGACAAGAAAAATGGGGAAAGTGATATTTTCCCTCTCTTCGACCCCAGGTACCCACATGTCCTCACTGCAGCTTGCCTAAGGGAGTCAGTATGATAACCAGAAAGAAGCATAACGTAGCCAAGGACTTGTGGGTGACAACAGGACTCCAGTAGCTAGAGGTGAATGGCAGGAAGAAGCAATGAAGCCATTGGATAGTGAGTGGCACTGTGGGCCCCTTCCCTTCCCTAGGCCCATCAGATAGGGACACCAAGGAAGGGAAAGATTGGCCCATACACATCTGACTCCTTGCTGTTCATGAGTCACATGTACAAATACTTCTTGTGTTCAGGGAATGGCAAAGGCTCTCTCAGGAGGCCACATGGGAATACAGGTGTCAGAAAAAGGAAATCCACTTTCCTGGGGAGATACAGCACTTGAGCACTTTAAGCACTTGTCCCTGAGGGAGATTCATTGTCCCCAAGTCCCACCCCCTTTGCTAGCCCAGCAGGGCCTTACTGCAGGGAAGGGGAGAGCAGAGCAGGAATCAAAGCAGAAGAGGGAGTTTAGCAGCCTAGCAAAAATGTCATTCTCCAATAAAGCACCTTATGCACTTCCCCTAATTGAAGGTAATCACCAAATGCCAAGTGCTCATCAGGCCAGCCAGTGCCCCAGGCACCTAAGGTACCAGAGATGCTAGTACAAAGGGTGACAGAGCCTGCCTCTGAGGTTGAGGAGCAAGGGCTCACTTGAGGAGTGAGGGCTCACATCCATGGCAGCCCCCCAGAGGGCATTTATAGCTTGGTGTTTCCCTGACTGAGCAAGCGCCATCTCCTTGCTCCACTCTGCTAGGCAGCATCAGTCCTCTTCTTGAGGACAATGGAAAGCAATGACTACATCCTCTGGGTTTCAGTCCTCACCCCCAAGCAGACCAGAGCCTCAGCTGGTAAGAGAGGAGCTACATCTTCCTGCCTGGCTGGCACTCCAGCTCCCATTGCACCAGGCAGAAGAAAGTGCCATCTTCCAGGCCAGGCTGTGAGTGCTGAGGGGCAGAGCCCTATAACCGTACAGTGCTTGATGTCTGGGGCTTGACTGGGGTCCTCCCTTGGCCCACAGTGGCAGCCTCAGTGGCAGCGTGGCCAGAGAGGGCTCTACTCCAGGCAGAGGAGTGGGAGATGAGAGGCGAGGCTACTGAGGTCTCACCAGCATTCTTACCAGAGACTGGTGGGAGGCCTGGTCCACTGCAGCCACCGAGTCATCTGCGGCCGGCTCTATGTCATCAAACGCCAGCTCAATGTTCTCCTAAGAAAAGAAGGCAGGGCAGTACTAATCATGGGGGCCCCATGTCAGGGCACAACATATGAGTAGGTTGGGTGGGGCCTCTGGGAACAGCAAGTCCAACCTCCCCCATTTCTTGCAGGGGCTCCCTCCAGAGTCCCAAATGACAAACTGCTCACTACCTCCCAAGGTAACATGCTATTTCTGGACAGCTAAAATTCTCATAACCTCTTTTTATACTAGGCCAAAATTACATTCTCCTGTTATTTGAATCAGTTGATTAGACAATGCAGTATATGCCTACTCTCCATTTCATAATCACCCTTGACATATGAATATAACTGTCTGTTGTGATTTTCATAAGTCTTCTCTCATCCAAGATAAATATCCTCCTCAGCTTGTTCAATTCACCTGCACATGAGGAAGGATTTCCAGATCCCATCTAGGACACCCTTTTAGGGAGAGACCCTAAGTCATCAACCACCATCCTATCAGATTAGGGGAAAGCTGGGGTGGGGGTGGTGACTGGGCCAGACACATCTGGAGGCAGGTACCGCCCTGTAGCAGTTCACAGGGCCCAGGAGGGTGCCTTAAAGAAGGGCATGGAGTGGCTCTCAGGGACCCAGAGTGTGCCTTCAATTTTGTGGAAAGCACACTTTCCATGAAGTAAGGCTTCAGCCAAGGTCAAGGGCTGGGGCCACTGGGCAGGAATAGATTCCCACTCCACAGCACAGAAGGAGGCAGAAATAAAGAGGGAGTAGAGAGCTGGGAAGAAGCAGGCAGCAGGGAAGGTGGTGACTTCCTGTATTCACAGAGGACCTCTCTGGGGGTGTCCTGGGGAGAAGGTGAGGCTGAGGTGGGGCCAACCAGGGTGGGGTAGAGAACTACCTCCTTGTATCTTTCCAACTCCTGCACAAAGGTGCGCTCATGGAAGAGCCTCTGCAGCCGGTCCTGGGCATAATTGTGGCACAGCTCCTCAAATGAGGCTCCACGGGCCGAGCCACCCTGCTCAGGGTTCTGGAAGCCTGGAGTATCCACAATCATCATGGAGCAGAGCGAATGCTGGCTGGACTTGAGAGCCCTTCACCGGGAAAGCCTGAATCAGAGCTAGCCAATGCCACACCACAGAGCAGACCCCAGTGGTCTGCCCCTGGCATGCAGCAAATCCCCATCCCTGCCCAGATACCCCGGGCCCTAGCAGAGAGGACTTGCCTCTCCTCAGGGTCCAGAGGGACAGTGAGCCCTCTGCTGGTGGATGATGGCCCTACCTCAGCCAATACAGGCACAAAGCCATCAAACCACCTTGGCCAGAGCAGGAAGCAGGGAACCCCATGGGGTCTGCCTGGTACTCACCTGTTCACTAGGGAGATAAGAAGGGTAAAGAGCTCGCTGTAGAGGCCAGATGCCATGCCCTCTAAACACTCCAATGCACTCATTTTGGGACCTATGGGACAGTAGGATTGGCTCTATCTCTTGTCTCCTGGGCTACTCCATCTGCCCAGCATGAGGTCCTGGGGCTGGACCTCTCCCAGTGATGGGAACATCTACTCATTCCAGCAGTCCCTCCCACCTCCAGAATGGCAACAAGCCCCAGGTAAGGCTTCCCAATCACATCTACCAGGCAAGGGGCTAGGGTACCTGTGCCGTCCCCCAGGCTGCTCTCCTCAGGGCCCTGACGAAAGGAAGTGGAGCGCTGCAGGGTGCCACCCTTGTGCTGGTGCTTGAAGATGGCCGAGGACAGCTCCTCCAGGCTGCAGCCCAGCAGGTATGCAGCCTTCTGGGCCCATTCATGGCGGGCAAATTGCTTGCGCCCAGCTGTGGGGTAGAAATAAGGATCTGGCATCTTGGGTCTTTCTCCTTAGGCTGACTGATGACCACTATGCCTTTTGACTCCCTTGCTCCCATAGGACTGGGGAGCAGGCATCTCCTGGAGGCAAAAGCCAGCCCTAATGACACCCAATGGCCTTCATGGGAATATGGAGTGCCAGCCACTGCCAGTACTTCATGTGTCCCTTGGGGGTGGAAATAATAGGAAGGTCCTAAAAAAGGAGGCAACTCCATAGGCTGTCACCAGAGGGTACCCAGTCGGCTGCAAAAATCCCTTTATTTCCAAGGATGCCCAACTTGGGTTGGAGAAGGACAAAGTCAGAAGAACACTTGTGCCTGTGGTAAACATAGCATGAGAGAGTACTAGCTCCTGCACCTTCCTGGATGCATTAGCATCCCCCTCTCTTCCTTATCTTGCCCCAGGGGAGACCAGACATCTCAAAGGCTAAACAGTAGGGAGGCAACACAGCCACAGGGGAAACGGAACAGCCCACACAGATATATGTGCCTCAGCCAACATGTGTCTAATCACAGCAATTAGGGAAAGCTAACAAGAAACAAGGTTTTACCTTCAGCAGCTTCTGTAAGGCAAAGGACCAGCATGCAGCATGCAAAGAAAAACAGTGTATTAGCAAACAGTCATCAACTGAGCCGCCAGGCCCACAGGAAGGGACTGTGGGGGGTAGGGGTTTATAAGGATGAGCAGGCAAGAAAACACAACCACATCCAGCTTTGGAGACAAACACACACATTCACAGTCTCAAAGGAGTATGCTTGTGGATGTCTTCACACTGACTCTTTTTGCAGAAAGAGACCTGCAATGATGTTCTGTGTGTGTGTGTGTGTGTGCGCGCGCGCGCGCGCGCGCGCGCGTGCGTGCGTGCGTACACACACACACACACAACTCTGGAAAGTACTGTAAGCTCTGAGTTGATAACAACAGGGCTCATCACTCAAAGCACTCCACGTACAGTCACCACAGAGGAGGATCAGAGGAAATTAGGCTTGAACCCCTTACAGTAAAGAACTCTTAAGACACAGTCATATGCCTGTCCACCCTCCTGCCCAGACAACTTCTTTAACCAAGAGCCTGCTTCCTCTTGGCATGTGGGCCACCTGCTGGGATCATAAGGGGCTGGACACCCAGACAACCTGTTCCTTCATGCATACACCACCACCACTTTCCCACTCTTGCTGTGCACACTGGGGCCCTCTGTACCCCAGAGAAAAGACAAAGCCAAAGCGCAAGGTGCTGTTCAGAGCCAGCATCCCCTTTCTCTAAACAGCAGGAGAAAGCGAGTAAAGAGGCCCTCTGATGCTATCTCCCAGAAAGGCAACAGCTCTCCCAAGCAAGACCCAGCCATAGCCATTCACAAGCTGGCAGAAACCATCGTCACTATGGTGCCTGCTGCCCCCTAGTGGCCTCCACCCTGACATGCAAGACCAAGAGCCAGGGCTACCAAATCCAAAGGGAAGAAGACTGTAGAGAACTGGCCTCAGGAAGCCCCAGGAAGCAAATCTGTCCTACCCGATCTAAGCCCCACCGGGGGCATTAGCATCCTGAGATATTCTAGGATCCAGATTCAAAACATGTTGGAGAAGCAGCTATTCCAGGGACTCCAAGAAGCCCCACATCCAGCAGGCTCCCCTTCTACCCTCAACCCTGGGGCTTTTCCCAAGACCAGTCCCCTATGCTATGAGAAAATGAGCCCAGCCCCCAAAAAGAGCCCGGGGTAGCACCAAGACTGGGCAAGGCAGCCCTTATGCCCCAAGGCGGGCCAAGTTCAGTTACCCGCTTGCTCCTCGGGAGCCTCTGTTAGGAAGGGAATAAGAAGGAAAGTTATTCCAGGGACTGTTCCAAGAGAGCATCTTCTCTTTTTCTCAGCCCCAGCCCAACCACCCATTCCTCACATTGCACCCAGCCTGCCACTATGACCACGCCTCAGGCCATTATTGACAGAAATGCTTCTCTGGTCTTCTGCCGTAACTTCAGGGACCAAGAAGGGGCACAAGCAACAGAGGGGTGTCTCGTAACAGCTGAATCTATGCAGGGCAAGAACAAATTGGGAGTGGCCAGGGCCTCCACAACATCCTCCAGGAAATGAGGCAGGTTGTTGGGACTCCACTGCAGGTTACCTTTGGTGGCTCCTGCAGCCCCCAGGTGGTAGATAGCAGCCAGGATGAGCCAGCAGGCCTTCTGCTCATCAGGGGAAATGCCCAACACCTTCATGGCTGTCTGCAGCTTACTGAATTGCTGAGCTGCCTTCTGCTTCTCCTCAGGCTGCAAGGATAGATGGGCATACTGGTGTCAGACTTCAGAGAGGCTCCCAGCATGTCCCCATGCTGCTGGACCCTCAGGGAGGGCAGACCTTGGGTACAGCCACCCATGGGGTACTATTGAGACTCCTCCTATACCCAAGGTCCACGGCTGCCATCCAGTCCCTACTGCCCCCTCACCTTGGCCAATGGCATGATCCCAAACACATTATTCTCTGCCAAGTGGTTCAAGTGGAGCTCTGTCCTAGGGGTACAAATGAGGCATCAGCAAGGGGCTTGTTCCCTGGGCCACAACCATCTCCCTCCCAGGATGGAGACAAACAGATGCAGTTTCCAGACTCCAGCTCTACCTTTCCTATTTGGCTTAGATGCCTGGGAAGAGCACCAGCCTCTCTAGGACAGGTAACTTGAGAGGCCCTGGAGAGAGGGTCCAGCCAGACCCTTGGAAAGAAGCAGGGAACGTGCCTGAAGGACAAGTCCCAACAGGACAGACTGTGCCTCAGTTATGAGAAGAGCTAAAGAAGATAATGTCTGGGGCCAAGGCTTGGCCCCATCATTTATCCTTGTCTAATGAACAGACAGCACGTCTGAAGGTCTAAAGGGAAAATCATGGCAGGGGTAGCCAGCAGGACAGAGGGGGCCACCTGGGGGCACTGGAGAAGAGTTGGGCTTTTGGAACCAGGGTGGACTCATACCAGCTTAGCCCTAAACTAGTGTGTGACTGAGAGCAAGTCACCCACCACCTGCATCCTGGTGAGCTTTCCGCTACAGATCTGTCTTACTGGGTAACAGATTTCAGGAAGGCCCTGGGAACACTGAAGGGTCTATTGTAGCCCTCCCATACAGCAAGGACTCAGTACCCAGGCCAGGGAACTCTGATGGGCAGGGCCTGTGTCTCCCTCATCTCACCATCCCCAGGCCCAGCTGAGAGCCTGGCTGGCACTCAGTAGAGAAGGAACATACAGCACTGTGGGTAACCAGTCAGTGAGGTCCAAGAGCCCAGTCATGGGCTGAAGTCCAGAGCCCCTCCTGCACCCTTGTCCAACCTCACCTGAGGGTGCCATCTCCACAGGCCAGCAGGTAGTAGAAGACATTGAATGTGGCCTCACTGGCAGGGCGTCGAGCCACACGGAGCTTCTCCAGAAGCATCGTCTGTAGCATAGCACAAGATGAGGAAGGAGGGTGGTGGTGGATCAACCTCCTCCTATCCCAGAGCATAAGGAACCAGGACTCTGATCCTCTAGCCCTAGGAATAAGCAGCTGCAGCTTATTCCCAAGGTGCTCAACCAGCGGCCAGGTCACGCCAGGGTCAAACAGGAGGCAGAAACCAGGGGTAGGTAGAAGAATATGGGCCCAGTTCCTGTAGGTCTGTCACCCTGCCCAGAGCCTAGGGGCCAGCCTTTCTAGAGAAATGATTGTTTGTAGGGAGAAAGTTCAATTAGCATGGGAGGAGGTCAAACTTGGCTGAGCCTTACTTGACTGACAAGCTCTTCTGGGCCTGGTGACATCAGCCTGAGAGAAGGCCCTGAGCATGGATCTCACATAGTGGGCACAGCCCCAGGATCAAGAGGGATAAGGAAATTGGGCAGGAGGCCTAGAGGGCAGCACAGACCAGCCCTTCTTGTGCCAGGTCCATTTAATTGGGACTAAATCCCAGGAAAGTGAGGCACTGGAGAGAGAATGATTTCTAGGACATGAAACTAGCAGCCCATTTCCCACTACCCTAAGGCCTGGGCAGCACCCCCTCACCTGAATGGAGGCTGAGGCCACCTGGCCAGCTTGGTCAAAGTCCAGGGAGAGGATCTGGGAGAAGCGGGTGGCATTGCCATTCATGATGGTGGGGCTGTTCCCAAAGGCTTCCAGGAGGGTGTATAGGGCCTGCCACTTCTCAACTGCAGAACACAGGCCCAGGGGACATCAGGAAAGCCAGGGACAGCTTTCCCCCAGCTGTGGGCTCCAGAGGCATGAAGGCTTGGGGCTACTCAGACCAGAACTGCCCAGGGACAGAAGGGTTTCAAGGGGATAGAGAAGCCAGGGAGAAAAAGAGCTGCAACTTAGGAGGATCCTCCCTCCTGACCCCCCTCCTCATCCATTCTGCTTTCCCAGCTGTTCCTGCCTCACCGGAAAACACCTTGTTCCCGCCGGTGCCTGTGATGGTGGCTAGGTACTGCACCAGGTGCTGGCAGCTGGTGGTCTTGCCACTGCCACTGCTGCCCAGGAGGATGATAGACTGGTCCTGACGGCTCATCAGCATTGCCCTGTATGCTGTCTGGGCCACAGCATAGATGTGGGGTGCCATGTCCTCCCGCCGGCACCCCTTGAACATGTGCATCACCTTGATAAGGAGAAATATGGAGGGAAGGGGTAGGCTCTTAGCTGGTTCCACCTGGACACCCCTCACCCCCAGGTCTACATTTTTTCTGAATTTTCACTCCAGGGGTACCCAGGGACTGTGAGGCCAAGGGTATGCATGGAAATGTAGATACTAGTCAAGTCCTAGACTGCATTAAAGTCTGCAGGAGATCCTTCTGCCCCACCCTTTGAAATAACTCCTCTTCCCAAGGTCAACCATGAGTGGACAGGAGCCCAGTGGACACTAAAGGGATAGGGCAGAGAGCAAGGGGAAGTGGAGTGGATGATGGGTGAGTAGGTCCACAAGTCAGCACAGTAGCCTGGAAGGAGTGGCACCTTCTCTGAGTATACGGCAGGAGCCCCACGGGGGCTGAGAACCAGCAGGCTGGGGCCAGCATAGGTGTGCAGCAGGCTAGCGCCATAGCGCTGGCGCAGCGTGTGTAGGACACTAGACTCGTTGAGGTACACCAGCGAGGCCAGATCTTCCAGACGGTCGCAGGAGGGAGCATTAGCCTGCATGGAACAGGATAGGCAGGTGGGCAATGAAGAAGCAAATCCTGGCTCCACCATAAAGGACAGGCCTGTCCTGTCCTGCCCATTGCCCTCCCTCCTGTTCCCTCCTTCAAACCTTCTCTACGTCATCCTCATCCACATCCAGGATGGCTCCATCATGGTCTAGCTTCACACGCACCTTCCCCTCAGGTAAACTGAGCTCCTCCGACTTGAGCTGACTGGCTGCAGAAAAGGCACAGACAGTTGATCATGGGCCTGGGAAGCTTCTGCTACCCTATTTGGCTTCTTCTAGGTCCTCCCCTCCTCCCCTTGGGTCATTAGCCTCTCCTTGCTCACCCCTGCCCCCCAGCCCTTACCAGACCCAGAGATATACCCGCTTCCAGCCCTAAGCCCAAAGAGTCCCAGATCTGTACCCAACCTCTTGAGACTCACCCAGAGAGAAGCCATCCTTATGGACCAGCCACACCTTCTCTGTCTCATACCAGGCTTCCTCAGCTGCAATCTGCTCTTCTGTTTTGGCCTATCAGAGGGAGGGGAAGAACAAATAGTCAGACCCTGCTCTGGAAGACAGGCAAGGACAACAGGAGAGGGGAGGCAAGTAAGGGAAAGGGCTTCGAGATGAGCCACTGGGCAAGGAGAAAAGTTAGGTGGCAGATGCAGAATAAAGGGACATCAAAAGTGTCAGAGAAGGAGGATGGGGAAGCCAGTTTGTGGTGGATCTGAGGAACCTTAAGGATAAGGACGTCAAAGCTAGGGACCATACCAGCACTGAGGATGTGGAAGTACAGGGCACAAAGGGAATGCCCAGGAAAGCAGCCACCCTCTGCCCCTCCTCCCTGCCAAGCCTGTGAAATCAGTATCCTGAGTCCAAGACCTAAACTTTGGGCCACAGCCAAGCCAAGCCAAGTGAGAGGCCTCTTTCACCATGCTAAGAAAGGCCATTTCTCCAGGCCTGGGGGAAAAAAAAAAAAAAAAAAGTGTCCTCCTAGGACTTTATAGTACAGAATGTAGGTGGGTCCTGAGCTCTGACCTCAGACCTGAGGATGCTACTATCTGGGCAAGGGGACAGTGCCCGGGGGGTACATGCCAGACTCTTTGTTCCTCCTCCTTGTTATGGTCAGCAAAGTCCCCTGCTCGGAAGGCAGCAGTTGACAGATCTAGTCAACACATTAATGCGCCACAAGGGCATAAGGCAGCTTGACCAGAAATGGGGGTAGGCGGCATGGCACTTCTTCATCTAACTCAGGAAGGCACTCCCATGCCACACAGGTGGACACAGGAATGGGTGCGAAGGGGCTGGGTGCCCAAGGTGGCCCAAAATGGTCACCAACAAGAAACAGGCATTCATAGGCACTGTTAGGGTATAGGCAATCAAACCTGGTGTCTCCTAAGAAGTACATTTGAGCTTGGAAGCAATGGTGCCTGGGGGAGCAGGGATAACAGGAAAGGAGTGCAGGGGCCACAGCCTGTCAGGTTCTTTTGTCATGTGTAGACAAAATGGCAGCCAAGTCACTAAGTGGCCCCTATAACAGGGCTAGCCACCCTTAGGGTCAGCCCTTTGGGGAGCACTGGCTAGGAAGAACAATTAGTCACCAAAAAGACTCTCACTCTAGAAGTCTCATATTCCTTATGAGACCCAAGAATGAGGCATAGACAGTACTTTGTGATAATGATTTCCTGGGTGAGGGATCAGGAAAAGATAAGAATACATAACAAGAGGGACTTATGTTCTTTGTCACATTTCTTAGAGTTGAAAGAAAAGGAGATCTGGGTCCTACTGATAAACCCCTCTGGTGCAGATGGCCCTTTCCCCAGCTATGAAGAGGACTGGACCAGGGGAATTATCCTTTAATAGGATAATCGCTATGAGGTTGCCAGTGTTTTGATTTGTTAAAGTGAGGGCATTTTAAAAGGCTATTTTTAATATTTTAAGATAAACAAATTTATTTTAAAAATCACTACAATGTTTGTTTTTTTTTCCATATCACGTGAGACAGGTGAAACCTTTGTCTTGAATAGGCATGTTCTATAGGCCAGGTGTAGAGAAAGACATCCAAAGGCCACCACCTGTCACTCACTCTTTCAGAGCTGATCTCACATTGGCCAGGAGGTGGAGACAAAGGCTGTCTCATCTTCAGGTGCCAGCCAGGGAGAGAGAGAATCAGATTTTTTGACTCTAACCAGGGAGTGGGTTAAAACACATAAAATTCAACTGGCCTTGGGCTCCAATGGTTAAAGATTGTGTGCCACAGAGGCCAAACATTCAGTGATGCACCCCAAGGGTCTAGTGCAGAGCTATGCCATCTCTGCTCCTGGCACTGCCTCCCCAGGGGCAACCCCTGACCCCAACACAGGGTGGGAGCCTGGAGGGGAAAGAGGCCTTACGCTCCAGCATGAGGCCCGAGCACAGACGCCAGCCCAGGCACAGGCCAGAGGTGGTGGGTGATCACTGGAGGACGCCGAGAACTTCTGAGGGGGATAGGAGCACCCTACCTGGCTGTGGGCAGGAGAGGCAGCTTCAGGGTCCAGCTAGCGGCAGCAAGCAAAAAAGAGAGAGAAAAGAAGGGTGAAGACAAGCAGACCACTGGCATGTCCCCTTAGCAAGACCTGTGGGCCAATAGACTAGCAGTCTCCAGCTGCCAAGATACAGTGACTGTCAGGGGAGCATGTCCCCAGGACTCAGAAGGTGGCCTGGGCAGAAGAACTGCACAGTCCAGGAGAGGCCAGACCAGGAAAGTAAAGAGACAGTTGTTATCATCAGACCCCTCAGAGGAGAGATTCATGTGAGACAGTCCCCATGGCTGGGCAGGAGTCTGCCACTCTGCCTCTGGCCAATTTCTCCTGGGTTGGCCATCCAACCAGCCTGAATTAGGCTCCCTTTTCTGTGTATCTGCCAGGTCAGGCCATCTCACCCAACCCAGATTCTGGGCCCCTTGGAAGCCTCCCACCTTATCTTTAGGGCATTCCTCAGCCCAGCTCCTCTATGGCCACCAATCAGCACAGAGTTGTCCCCTCACCTGGAAACACACACCTAAGGAGGTGCTACTCCCCATGTGAGGGCTGTCACTACTATATCCGGAACCAGGCCACCACTAGCTCAATTCTAGGTCCCCTTCCTCAAGCCCTCTGTACCACTCCTGCTACTCCCAGGCAGGCAAACTGACCCCATGACAAGTGGAGGATCACTCTATACAGGTCTAATCTAGAGGCCATCAGCCACCTGCCTAAGAGCCAGAACACTGTGGGCAGACTCTAGGGACAGCCTTGTCCTTTCTGTCTCTGTCTTGTTACTTAAAGCCCTCAAAGGCCTTTCTGACATGAAAGGAAGATAGCCAGCCTGGGATGTAGCCTGTTAGAAATGGGTAAGAGTTAAAGAGACACCCCCCCCACCGGGGTATGTCGAACTAGGGAATCAAAAATGGAGAACATGCCAGACTCTCCACCTTTGCGACCCACCAGGCCCTGGCACCAAGGCATTTCGCCAAGACAGGAGAACAGGGCCAGAGAAGGGAACTGGACTCTCAGCCAAAAAGGGCCCCTTCCCATATGTACAATTGTCCCTAGAGGGACAATTCTCCATAGAGCCCTTGTCTCATTTCTTTAAGCAGAGAGCCAGTGTGAGGGTCTATGGACCACCATGGAGTCTCCTTTCCATAGTCAGGCACTCCTACACACAAACAGTCTGGCTGCCAGCCTCAGAAAGAGGAGGGCCAGGGACTGGGGGCCCACACACAAGAGAGGTGGCATTACAGAAGCAGTGAAGATCCTCTCAAGCCGCTGGTGGGCTTCCTCCGCAGGGCTCAGCTGGACCTCAGGGGCGGTTCCTGTCTAAAGGTTAAACCACTATTAGTCCTGGCCCAGGGAACAGTGGAGTCAACACATGCCAAGCTCCCAGCCCAGAAAGCCACTGGGACCCGATGGGAAAGTAGAGGAGGGCCAGGGAGACAAGCTAGGTGCCAATTTGAGTTTTTAAACCAGCAGATGAGAATAAAAGAACAAGTGCCTGGGAGAGCTGGGGTTTTTTCCCTACCATCCTAACCATTACAAGCACCAAATGGCCCTATTATGCCATTTGTCCTTCTGGCCTATGTCCCAGACCAAGGTAACAGGTGTCCACTGTCCTGGTCAGGACATGTCTTAAGCCCCAACTCCACCCTAGTAAGAGGGGAGGGCAGTAGCTCAGGACAGGCACGTGATATTCCTGGCTACTTATAGGTGCTCCCAAAGGACTGAAGTTGAGCTCCTGCCCTGCCCATTAAGCTAGAATGCTCCTGCCAACCCCTCCCTGTATGCCAGGAATCACCATAGAGCAGGCCAGGAGGGTGGGGAGAGCTGTAGCTGGCCTTTTTTCTAAGTACTGCAGTGCCCAGGGAGAATGGAGAGCGAGGCACCTTCCAGAACCCTGGCTCCCAGAAGGAAACAGAGAGCAAGGGCCTCCAGGACCCTCAGGCTCTGTCCCTAGCATCCTCCTGGCCCCTCTCTTTCTAGCTACATAGAGCCTATGAAAGCACAGGAAGTGAAGGAAAAACCTGATGTCTCCCCACTCCTTGCATACCCCAGAAACCTCAGCAGGGTCTAGAAAATGAAGAACCTTAAAAAAGAATGGTCTCCAACTCAAGGACCAGCCAAGCAGCCACCACCTTCCTCAGGGAAGGGCTGGAGTGGTCATCCTTAGTCTTCCCCCTGCCTCTCAGTCTCCCACCCAGAGGACACTTTCTGGGAAGATGGAGTAGCCCCAGACCCAAAGAGCTTACTCTGCCCATTTGCCGCCCAGGCATAGGGCTCCTTCAGGGTCCTGATGCCAGTGGGGATGTGAGGCAAGGTCTGAAGAAGGCAGAGATGACATTAATAACAACTATCATTAGCATCACTGTCTACACTACCATTTATGGATCCTCCATGCTAAGGACCTGGCTTGGCACATTACCTGCATCATTTCTAATCTTCACAGCAGTCCTTCAAAGCATTACCCTTTATTTGTAATTCCAAAATCCACAAAACAGAAGATTTTCCTCAACTATTTTGATGGTAAAACCTGTTGATCTTCTATTCTCCCTCAGTACAGATATTCATGGATTTGCTCTGGGAACAGCTAAATGTTTGCTGCTTATTATGTATACTGTATGACACGGTAAAATATAAAATTTACTAATAGCCAAAATACTTCTGGCTCCCAGGGCTTTGGAGAAGGGATTGTGGACCTGAATTACCCCACTTGACAGAGGCTAAGAGATGGTCCAATGAGGACAAATGGCTGGGAGTGTAAGCTGACTTGAGAAAATACTGTGTTTTTATGAGGCACTGATCTGCTAAGAATCTGACCCTCAGTTTGAGATCTGGGGCCTCAAGCGGGCACCATGTAGCTGGGGACCAGGCCCAACTCCCATGGCAAGGCCACAGCATGCATGCTGGTTAGCAGATCCCATTCCAGCCACAGGGACAGAGCCCAGACCCAACCCAGGGTTCTGGCATTCAGTTAAGGAAAGCCACACAGCCATGCAGCCCCTGCCATGGACGCAT